CAAAGGGGTGCCGTAGCTTTTCATCCGGGGTGAGCACATTGACGGCGCGAACACCCAGGACCCCCTGGGAGGTGAGAGCCTGGGTGGAGCAGGTGGAAGAGTCAGAGGAGCAGGACCATGTTTATGCCATCCTGTAGGGTTCGTGTTTTGGAGGTGTCATGGTATAGGCTGGTTATATTTTAGTTAACTCTTTTTGTTTGTGCAGAGATTACATTTTATTTGCTCATAAATACGAATTGAGGTTTTGGGTCACAGCCCAGTTGCATTTTGCTTCAGACAGAGTTTAATTTCCCCTTTTAAAAAGTGTTTTAAATAAGTTGGGCCATATGGAAATCGAGTTGTTCATCAACCAAAGAAACTTGAAGGAATTTGAAAAATAAGTTTACATATTTCTTGAGCCATTTCTTGAGTATTGAACCAGAGTCAGAGTACAGCACCGGTACTCAAAACTCCTGATTCAGTCATTTCCTTTGTTGGGATCAAGACTTAATCTGCCTCTACCTGTGTTTTCACAGCTGTAAAGTGGGAGCTACACCTATTAATGAGGGGCATTACATACTCTTTTTTGAAAGACCTTAATTAAAGAAAAAAAAAGCAGGGGAAGGTCATTTGTAGGGGTAGTAAACAACGCAAAGTGTGCCTGAGGGAACATTTAATGTTGAATGGGGAGATATATCTGAGAAACATGTGGTGTCTAAAGGAACACGCATATTAGAAACTTCTCTGTTGTATTCATTTCTTGTGCAGTTGATCACTTATATGCTGCTGCTCTGAATTCTGCAGGGTGGATGACATAAGCACCACATGTAGTAGTGCAGGAAAAGCTGCACAAAACCTGCCAAAATGGGATGGACCTGTTAGTGAATGGCAGGCCAAGCCCACTGTATGTCCTGGGTCTAGAGAGAAATGAGTGTGAGATATAACACATGCGCTACGGTAGTAGTAACAACTAGCTTGGTAAAATTTTCCTCCTATTAGAGCCTGGCTACTGTTTAGAGGAATTAAAGGGCTTCTCTGAGATGACAGGTCCTGCATCCCTGTCTAGTGCTTGATTCTCGAGTCAGTAACGGCAGTGAAGCAGTGGTATTTCTGTTAACAGCATGGAGCCAAGAACAGGGAAATATAGGCCAAACAGTGAGTTATGTAATGGTATTCCCTAAGGGGTAGTATAAAGATGAGATGATTTCCTTCTGTCAAGACAAAGAGCAGCCGTACAGTTGTTCTACAGTGTTCACTCTAGCCCTGGGTTCCTTAGGAGCAATCCGGGCAGGGAGTCGGGACCCTGTAATAGCAGATCCACCAGTATCACTTTATTCCCTTCCACAGCTAATTCCTTTACAAGCATTCCTTTGCAATACCCTCCTAAAGAACCTGAGAAGTGGGATAGATCCGTTACGGCTAAAAAGGGAAACCAGACTCGGTTTACTGGGAGAGGAAAATTATGATTTTAATGTGGTTTTTTTTTCAGGGGATTGAGGAGCGATAATGTGGAGTTGTAGTGCACCAGGACAAAGCAGAGGTTCTGTGTATTGAAAGTTATACAAGATAAAGCAAGGGACTGAGAACCATCTCAGAAGGTTTGTTAATTATGCCACTTGGACGGAATAAATAAAAAGGCTAGATTGGAAGTGAAGGAGGTATTTTATGTAAAATAGTAGGTTTAATATTAGTTAAATATACACACTCGACTTAGCCAAAAGGCTGAGAAAAAGGGAACAGACAGACTTGAATTATCCAGACTGTTATTGGCCAGAACTGAGTTTTGGAAGATGATTGGCTGGTGACAATCCAAAACTACAGACAGCAAGTCTTGCAAAGGACATCAGCCGGCCTTTAATGACAAGAGGTGCTCAGGGGCCTGAGTTGAATTCTGCTCGTAAGATGGCACCTCCAATAGTACAAGAGAGACATACATATTTATGAAATACCAGGTTTTATCCACTTTTTAAAACTTTTCCATTTCTGCTGCCAGTTTATTCTCCCTGAGCACAGATTGCTTTAAATGAGTATGTCTTCAAAGACAGAATGCCTGAAAACCATAATTTTTATTCAATTCAACTTTTTAGGGAAAATACTTGGGTTTTGGCCAATCAGTGCATTTAATCATTAGTAATTTAGAGGATCAGAACGCCAAGACGATCTTGTCTTCTTTGTCACTAATACAGAAAATACTGTAAGTGTAGTTAGCAAACTGATTTATATGTAACTGATCTAGATTTGAATTTAGCTGTTTCAAATTAAATAATAAAATTTGTTTCATGGGGAACTTAAAATGCAATTATTATTGGAAAAGTAACTGTCAGTGATATTTTGTTATTCATCAGATATATTCTTTCCATGAATTCATCCCTGATCTGCTTGATGGAGTAGCAAAAATCCACTTTCATTATTTCTTTAACTCTTGCTACTCCAGGCTGAGTTAAGTGAATGCAGTAGCCCTTGCAAATTGCTCTGGCCCTTGTATTATGAATTAAGATCCATGGTAGAGTTTATATCTTAAGGTGCCAATCTCAGTTGCACTGTAAAATACCTGTAATAACTTGCTTTGGATGATAGTTGTATAGTATGACTTTAAGATTTCAGACTGACTTGTCAGGATTATTAGTGATTAAAAAAACTGTTCACTTGTTGACTTAGCAAACTGAATTGGGGTGGTAAGCTTTTATTCTTGTTTTTCTTGCCGTTCTCTACAACTAAATTGTGCAGACTACAAATTCTGAGAATGCTGGCGTGCTCAAGCGGGGATGTCCAAGACTTACACTAAGTGTCAATAGGTTCCTATAATTTCAAGTAAGGCTGGTAAAATCTATTGGTTCTCAACAGCTCAGAGAGCTATGGGCTGTGTGTTGCAGTATGGGTAACTAGTAGTAGGGGCATCTGAATTTAACAGACACTTCAGACATTTTGGCCTTATGTGCTCCTGACATCTCTCATCTGTAAAATGGTGATAATGCAGTAATGTTTACATAGAACCGGGGAGATGATAAAAAATCAGTATCAGTCTTTCTGCATTATGTAGGAAGAGTTATATTTATGATTAGGGAATGAACCTTATTCCTCTTAGCTGAATGCTTTCTTCACTTATTTCATATGGTAGGAACAGCGGTAACAAAGCACTCGTCATTTTTTTTAAAAAAAGCTGGCTCATAGAATATCTGCTCACCACAAGAGTTTTCTCTAACTGCTGTAGAAACACTTTTAAACTTGTTATTTTAAGCTATGCATAAGTATTGGCAGCTAATATTCTGTGCACCTATGAAGGCGAAAAGGGTTATCTGATTACGTGTATTTGCAGATCTCTCTCTGCTTCACGTTCTTGCAGACCAGAACAACAACATAACTTTCTTCTTTCAGGATAGTTAATGTTCTGGCCCAGAATTATAGCACCAGATGTGTTGCCACAGAAACAATTTAAAGGGAGAAGGAATTGCAAGCAAATCGTCTTTCTAGTGGAAAATGTAAAAGCAGTATTCATGTTTTAGAGCCTCTCGTCGGTTTCTATGTGTGTTATATGTGCTTGCAGGAGAGAATAAGGGCGAATTTTGCTTTTTTTTGTTTCATACATCTGTTAGCATTTTAAAATTCTCTGTACAGGGTTGAAAATTGAAAAATATCCTATTATGGGCATGAGTTACGTACCTCAGAGACATTTTTTATTAAATCCTGACTCATTTTTAGAAACTTTTTCCTTGAAAAGTGTGCAGTGTGCTAGCTGATTTACTTAGCTCCACTTGCAACACGCTTTGGAAAATATTTCCAGTAATAGTTGTTTCTGTGAAAGTAGGGAGACATTTGACTGTATAAAATTATCCCAGATTTTGATGCTGAGAATTAATAGCACATTCTTATTTACTACAATTGACATGCTGATGAAAAGAAGGAATGTATTATAGGAAATATTTTTATTTAATCTTGCCTAGGAAGCCTTAAAGCAGCCAAAGCCCTTAAGTTTAGTTAGTATTTCTTTTTTCTCAGAGTAGTTGCCACAGGATAGTCTATTCAACATATTCTTTTCTCAACTACTATGAAAATATTTGTCTGAACAAAATGTAACATGAATTACCTTTTCACTTTTTTGACCACAGATGGGCATCTTTATCCTACAGTTTTGCATACTCTTTGGGGTAGAATAATGAGAAAAACATCCAGGAAGGCCATAGCTACAGCAGAACAGGTTGGCACATGTAATAATTGTGTCGGAAACTCTCCAGATGTGGATACATCTACTATTTGCAAAAAAGAAATTTTTCATATAGAATTTGTGCTGATTTTTGACCAAGTTAATTTAAACTAACAAAAATGCTGATGGGATTGTGTCTGCACTAAGATTTCAATTTTATCATAGACATGCCATAAAATACAGCATCTGTAGCTAACATTGGTGGGCATTTCTTATATAAACTTGACTGAAGAATCTGGGAAAATTTAAAAAAGGCCGAGATCCACACTTAAAGAGACCTGTTTACGCAGTTCTTTGTCATTCATGCATTTGGATGTTCCTTCTCCCAGTAAATTTTGAAATACTGCTGGCTGACTAGCTGAAGGAAGCATAATTGCATTTATCTTATCAAAAGCCAGGGTGAAGTTTGTGTCTTTTCAGAGTGATGGAAAAATTTAACCATATGCATCTGTATGCATAATGCTACCCTGTGATTTTGGAGGATAATGGGCATACAATGTTGCCAAGAAGTCTTATTCTATCGTTTGTTTGTTTGTTTTGTTTTTTGTTTTCCCTCCATGAAATTTATTTTTTTAAATATTTTTTTTCATCTAGCCATACTTTTAAATGTCTCTCAGTTTGGAAATATATAATTTATTCCCTTTGTTACTCATCTTTTATACAAATCTGGGTTCTTCGCTTTTCCATTGAGGAAAATTTTAACTGAAGAATTAGAATATATCCAAGTATACTGGAGTTAGAAACAGTTACTTATACTTATGAAAATAGTTCAACCTTATTTTAAGTGTCCTACAAGAGTAATCTTTTGAAATCTGTCAGTTTTGGAATTAGACTGTATACCATGTCACAGATTTGAGTTTTGGCAGGTTCACAGGCATGTACATCACCAAACAAGATCTGCCGTAAAGATAAGAAATTCATTTCTCTTTTGCATTCCTTATTCAGGCAGAACTCCAGTTCTGGGTGTGGAAGGAATGCAGAGCTGGGCCTAGAGCTTGGGTCTGCACAGGTTAGAAATGACCTTTCAGTGTAAAATTTGGATCTGAATCTGCATCCATATTTCGCTAGAAGACCACAAATATTTCAATCCAGGTTTCTGGTTTGGGTGCTCTTCAGGGCTGAATCAGTCCTTATGTTTTCAAGCTGATACAGGCATCCTCTTAATTAGTTCACATCCCTTTTGTTTGATCCCATGAGAAGATAGTTTATTCTTTCTTTAGGTGGTAGAGCTTTCCCAGACAGACATTGTAAACTAGAAATATAGGTACTTACAATTTTCTTAAAAATGTCCTATGGGCCTGAAATTTCTTGTGCTTGGTTTCAGTCCAGTGTTGAATAAGACTGGAAAGTCTGAATAATGTCAGTTCAGCTGCATTTGAGTTATTCAAGTTCATTTTAAAAATATGTACTTTCCGCTTACATTTTTTCCATAATTCTCTGCACTTACATAACCTCTGTTTTTTTTATTTAAATTGCCACAGACTTGAGAGAAGAGTCATTCTCCAATAATGGGACTTAACAGATAAACAAGCAGGGAGGCAGTTCAAAGACCTCAGTGTGCTTTAAAATCTTAGTGTTTACTGTCTTAGTGTTAGCATGAATAGGTTTATGTTTCTACTAGTGCAGACAAAATACAATGCAAATAACCTTCAGTTCATCTATGTGCTGAATTTCTGCAATTTTTACATAATGTAACTTAAATTCTACAAAAAGAGTTCAGAAGGTTTCTCCAGATTATAAGGGAGGATTTTGTTTGATGAGATCTGTAAAGTTAAAGTAGTAGGCCCAGGGTTTTCAAAAAGATTTGACAGAGAGGTATTCCAAATGCATGTGTAGCTGTTTGAGCAATTATTACAAGAGAGTGTACGTATTGGGTAACTGTGTATGAAAATGTGGTTAATACTTGGTGTATACAGAAAGTTCACAGGCTTTGCTAAAGTTTTGAAGATACCTGATTTGTAGCAAGTTAGTTACCTGTGTTTTACAATGGAAGATAAAATAAAAGTGCAGTTAAAATGGATGGACATTGTCTCAAACTGCATCGGTTTAATTCTGTCAGTAACATAACAGCTTCAGCATCACTGTATGTTTGTTGTATAGATATATATAACTGCACATGACTGTGTGCCTTTTTCCATGCTTTTAGTACAATAGTGTATGCCCAGACTTTATGAAAATCTGTCACTAGGCTTCTGTTAGTTATTGTCTGAAACAGAAGCCCACACAGTGATCTTGAAGGTAATGCCACCTTTGAAGAGAGTCCAGCATGTAGAAAGCTGATGGGAAATACTACTTTAATTAACCACAACTCCCACTGAAACAATAGAGCTATCCTTTGTGTAACTCTGCTGAAGTCACTGGATCTTGTTCCTAATTCCACTGAGGCTGGGTTGTGCCCCTCCCTGTTTCTGAAGTGTTCACATGCCAATGTGTTGTGCAACCAACACAATTTGTTAACAAATAAAGAAGAATTTAAATAACCTTAGAAAATACGTGCAGGCATCCCAGCTGCCTGCAAACAAACATCAGAAGTGCAAAACAAGTAAGTAGTCTTAAAATTGCTTGCGCTTGGGTTCCCCAAAAACAAAACCACAAGTCTAAGGAGTATGTGCTCTGCAAGAGAAGGCTTTGCATGAGAAGATATACTGCATCTTCTGGTAAGATCTCCAGTCCAGACATAATTTCTGTGTCGGCCCAGCCTAGCTTGTTTTCTCCAGAGATGTGGTAATATATGATGAATCTTTCCCCTGTATGTGTATGAATTTGACTGCTTTTAGTTTCATTTAAAGAAATAAGCAAGTATACTTTGACTTGCAATTGTCAGATTATCTTTACAGTAAAACTGTAGCTCATTGTAAAATACCTCTCTTGAGCAAGCCAAGTCATAAGGAGCAAAACATTTTCCTATTATAACACTGAATGCACTGTGTGCCATTGCTGCTGTTAACTGTGTCAGGATCTGGATTTAATTCTAGATCGGAATTAGTATATTGTTGGAATCACTCGTCAACATGTATATTTTGTATCTGAGTGGCCATTTCTGAATTTTGAAGATCACCCAAGAGTGCTTTTCTGCCAGTAAATTCTCTGGGCTGTACATTCTCAATGACAATTTTGTAGATGATCACAAATGTGAGTTCATAAGATCAACGATCCATGCACTGATGGTTGGAGGGTCATATTGCAAGTGTGGGAAAACTGCCAGGAGACAGAACATCACAGGGACATACTGTTCTATCTATCGCCTCTCCAGCCAGGCATGGCTCCTCATTGATGGGAAGGCGTATCACTGCTGTGCTTATAGTACCTTTCAGCGTTCTGGACACTGCTGCCATCATCTCAGACTCATCTGGCAAGACGTGTGATGATTATGTCGTTCACAAATTGTGCCTGTCTGATGCCAAAAAAGCAGATCAGTGCACACACAGTACCTTTGATATCACTGGAGTCATCACTGTACTGTGATATTTAGCTGTTTTGCCTGTGTGTTGTCCTGAAATTTAAAGTTCTTTGCTGGTGATCTCATCCATCACCATCTCCTTAAATTATCATTCAAGCAACAGCTATATGAATATGGCCTAAGCATTTGGCCATTCATTTCTGTGTTAGATCTCTCTGCAGCTCTAATAACTATAACTCGATGCAAACCTGACTGTCATTTCCCCACATATCACATTCTGAAGGTGACCGTTGTTTGTTCTCATTCTGTTAGGACAATAGGAGCTGATGAACTAAGGATCGGTATGTACGGTGATCTGATTGATACCTTGAGTCTTTTGCTCATTGGTCTTGGGTAAGAGCTCTTCACACTCTTGAGTCAGTATGTGTGTTAGCCTCACAATTCACTCCTTCCACCTTGAAAGGGAACTAAGAGAACTTTCTTACAGGGGGCCCAGTTTTGTGAAGTGACACGATCCTATTCTGCAAGAGTGGTCTCAATTATAATTGGCTCATAGGTGAGTAACAGAGTCTGGGTAACATAGACTAAGTCAATTTACATCACAAAAATAAGTCTTGTTTTATGAGGCATGAAGGACTTTTACCCACAGATTTTTTATAAACTGAGAATTGTAGTTGTTCTGTACTTGCCAGGTAGTCATCCTAAACTTGGTTCTGTGCTTAAATGTAGTACTGCTATAATTTTGTCTCGGTTGAGGGTTTTTTTTTTTTTAATGATATAGCCATATGGTATTAAAAGCTTCTGCAGCTATATTGTTATGGCGGTGTTGTATGCTAATACAATTTATTCTTTTCCCTGGTGCTTTATAGCAGTACATCTGTACTAGCAAAGTCCTTTTATTATCTAAAGACACACAAGTAATAAGCCCCTCTCTACAGCATTTAAATCCCTGTCTATATTACAGATTCCTGCCCTCAGCTAAATTGGGTAAGGACTGTGAAAAATGGTTTCTTTTACCAACATGGCTGAATTAGCAAAAGATGCAAGTATAGAAGCAGTTATAATGCACAGTAAACTTGTGCATTTGTTAGTACTAATTGTTTTAAGTCTGAGGGATAGTTTTAACTGTGCTGATAGAAAGCACAGGCTTGCCAAGTTGCTCCATTCATCTAGGAGAACTTTTGTAGTAATTAATACCAATATTCTGATAGCAGTCAGGTGCTGGTTATAGATACACAGAAGGTGTTCACATCAAAGGATTTTTTTACATTATCTGCAGACTACTAATACCTTTCAAAGCTATTCTAGAGGTATTAAAAAAAACAAGCTTTCTTGTGTAACTGTATAGATCTGTGTTACAAAGTTCCTGGCATAGCTGTGAGCACTAAGAGTATTTTGCTATGCTGGCAAAATACTCATATAGAATACTCCTTTTGCCAGGATTGCATGTGTCTTTTGGGGAGAGAGGTAAAAACAAACTGACAGAAGACCTCAGTTATCTCTTCTGTTGGAGTTTTGTTGTTGTACTTACACATAGATGCTGAGTAAACCAGTCCAAGGTCTAAGAAAAACTCCCTGTGATGCTGAAAAATATGAAACACTAAGCAGATGTGGCTGCTAGCTGCAGTAAAAGCTTTGAGTCCTCAGGGAACAAACAATTGGGTTTGCAGTCTTTGAACAAGTTTGAGACAGAGAGATGATTGATTTTTTTTTTGTGGACAAAACTGAAATGCATTTTCAAGAGTGACTCTTGCTGTGTTTGTTGATGATATTCATAACATTTCAAGGGACCTTAACATTAGATTAGCTTTACCCCTAAATGTTGAAGTGGTTTGATGTCAACTGATCCTGCTACTGAGCAACTTCTGCTTAGCACTTCCAGTTATGTCTGCCTTCTTTTTTTCCAGTGAGTAGCTCTCTTGTGCTTGGGCTGGGTGAGGTAGAAGAGCCTGACATTTCCAGGAATTTATTATCTCTGGCAGAAGTCTTGTAAATGTCAGTTATTGATAAGTGAGAAAGTAAACATGGGGCTGATGAGGCGGTGCACTTTCAATGGCTTACCACTAGTCTGATTTCATATGGTGGTCCACACAGTGGGACTCCAAAGAAAAATTCTTCTACCACTAATTAATTTTTTAAATTATTTTTACTGTATGATTTTGGTTATAACTTATCTACTTCTTGCTCCTTTCTAATGTAGAATTTTTTTTCTTGTTTACAAATTTCAGTCACATTAGATCATTTTCTAGTCTTCCTAGAAATACTTCTGATTTAAGAAATAAGTGTGGCAACTGTATTAACCTTTAATGAATATCGAAAGGGAGGTTTTACATGCCCAAACAGATTCTTTGCATTTGCTGACTGCAAAATATTTGAATTAAACAGCAGTAACAAAAACACAGGGCTGAAGAAAGGAAGTTTATAAAGGCCAAGGCAGATCTGCAATCAGTTATTCTGATGGAAGGCATCACCGCTCTCCTTTAGAGATGCTTTGTCAAAACTGTTTATGTGAGCTCTCCCTACCCAACTTCCAGGAAGATAACTGCTTTAGCAAAAACACTTGAAACAGTAGTCTTTGCTAAGCTATCTTTTTTAAGGCTGAAATAGGTTTAAGGGGCACTCCATGGAGTAATGATCATTGTAGATTTTGTAGTCTTTCCTGGGCAAACTATGTCCAGATGTCAGTACACAAGTTTGACTCTTCTGATCTTACAATTTTCAAAAGAGTATTGCTGTAATTCTGTTTAGGCTTGAAATAATCCAAAGCTGTCTTCTAGGCAGAACCAGACTGACAAAACTTGAATATCTGGTTTAAAAGCAAGTGTAGCCCGGTTTAAGACTGCATTTTGCTTAACTGCTCGCTTCACCATAAGTATCCTAATATACATTAGTCTTTCAGCTGTTTCCAAAGCCATGTCCTTTTGACTGTTTAATATTTAAGAACCAATTAGTTCCATTTTGTTTTGTTTGGATAGTTTGCAGTTGAGCATTCTTTCAAGTGGGCTTTATTTAGCTAATTCCGTCACAAAAATAAGCTCTCAGGGAATGAAGAGAAGTTCAAGCTAGCCAATGTTTATTTTTATTATTAATAATTTATATTATGGTAGTCCCCAGGGGAACTAGGGCCTCACTAAACCCAGTTTCCTCTGCATGTAATGAACTGTGTCTCTCAAAGCCTTATACAGCAGAAGATTCTTTTTTGCTGCTGTGGCTTAGTGCAAGGGACACACTCTATACTGCAAGGGAACGTACCGATGAAGAGCGTATAAAGACAAATCAAGAATAATTTTCTGAAGAAGCTCGAGCTAGGAACCAGAGGGACAACCTGATGCATCTTCTCTGTAGAAAGCCATCACGAATGCATTTTTCCAGTGTGAGTGCCAAATCATGACTACAAAGTTCTCGTTCGTTCTCTCTCTGCAGTTATGGCAATGCTCCCAGTGACTTTGAGGGGAGCAAGATTGGGCAGAGAAGTGATGGTCCTAAAAACCTTATCTATTTCTGAACTAGCAGCAGAAGACACTTTATATTTAAAGAACACACTGATGGGCAAAGTTAGTTTAAAAAATTTTCATGTTTAGTCAGATTTCTACCAGAAGTTACCGTTTTCACAGCATCTGATCCTAAATAATCGGTCTACTTTATGTTTTACAGAAGTCTTGAAAGAAGTGATTTAGAGTCTTTCATACCTGCTAAATGCAAAGGAGACACAGAGCCAAAACCTGGACTTCTGTAAATTGATTTGAATAGAGTTATGGCTGTTCATATAAACTGGGGATCTGGCCTGTTCTCTATGGGATAGCTTTGTGAGTTAAGTGGATAGAACTGACATTGGGATGAGCAGGGCTGCAAAGTGGAAGTGCCTTGAAGTTAGTGTAGCAGTGCAAATTTTCATCATCAGTGGAAATACCATCCTGTCCCCTCCCCTTATGCGGAAGCAGCAGTCTTTTCTGTACTCCTTCCATAATTCCAAATTCAAAATCTAGACAGAAGTTTTCCTGACCTATCTGTACCATATTCCCGTCCTCATTAGTTCAGTTTAAAGCGGGTAAAACATCTGTTTCCAAGTACAGCTGTGTGGTTAGTATGTAGGCCTTTTTTTTTTTCCATACAAAAATCTCTAAATCTGGCCATTTAAGACACAAATTTTATAGGAGCTAGAGTTGGGCTGTGCAAAGTTCACCTCATTAAAAACAAACCCAAACCAAATAAAAGCAGAGAATAACAGTGTAAAAAATGTGGGCCATGAATGTCAGAGCATATGTATTAGGAATTGGTAAGAAATGAAGGGGAAAGTACAGATATATCAACATATATTCAAAGGATCTTGGTTTTTTCCACAAGTAAAGTTTACATGCTTGTGGAGTGTCTACAGAAAGGGAACATTAGTACACAACACAGTGTTAGGATTGCTATGACACCTACCCTAATTTGTTAGAAAATATAATGAGTTCAAGCCTGTGTTAGAAGATAATGGGTAAATTCAGCCTAGATAAAATGTTCAAACACACCAAATAATTTTTTGATGCTTTGGCTGTTAGCTGGCCAATGAGCCACATTCTAAATTGTCTTGATTTTGCTATGTCTTTCTAAAAAATACGGCCTTTTTCATTATTTTAAGATAGGTACTGAGATTTACTAATCAGTAGTGGAAATACTGACTTTGAAAAAACTAAGTCTATGTCTAATCATTGTTAAAGAAAATGCTTTGCTTTAAAACCTAAACTTTTTCTCTCTCCTATTTCCCTCTTATATGATATTTTGTGTACTTTTTCTAGTGTTCTTTGGGATACTGATCCTAACTTAGCACCTTCATTATTTCTGTGGCACAAGATTGTCCTGGTAACATTTATGGGAGTAAAACATGGTTGCCAGAGGAAGTTGACTTAATGGTTTAATTCTTAATAAAGGACAATTTTCTTGATCAGACAACTAAATGACAGTTTCTCCCACTTCAGAAGCATGCCCCAGGACACATACTGGTATATTGTGAATCACAGACTTCAGTTTTTGAAGATATCAAAACACATCCCACATACTGTTGAACATCAGATTTCACTATTACTGGAAGCTTGTCATCTGTTTTGGTTAATATAGCCTTCTCAGTGTAATAATCAAAACATACATCTGCCCATTATGGTGGTTTCTGTTGAAGCTTAGACTTGGGACTTTCCACAACCCTAAGGCTGAGATAAAGGACGTTCCTTATTTCATAATTGACCTGGAAACAGGCTTTTAGGAGGCTCCTGCATTAGCCAATGGATGGAGACATGATCACACCTGATAAGTCTATCTGTAATATACATTCAAGCATAGATTGGGGAAAACAAGGAGAATGAGATATCTATTACAGAAGAATGTTCCTTGGGGTTCATAATTAAGAAGAAGGAACCTCTCAAGGACAGAATTGGTAGGATTCAGTGCCTTGCTGCTAGGCAAATTTTCCTTTGTCAGAAATGGAAGAGCCTGTTCATCACTTGTAAATTGCTCTCCCTCAGCGCCATCTGCTTCTTCTCTTGTTAGGAATTTGTTTTTAAGTATTCATTATAATGTAGCTAACTGCAGATTCAAATTCTGCCAAAGCTGAAAAAGCTGCAAGTCAGGCTAGCGTGTGGAGCCTGCCACATTCCTAAATCTCTGATTCAGGCTTGCAAGTTTGTCATCAAGTTTGAAATTGGAACCAGAGGAGCTAGCAGCAAGCCCTGTGCTCATAAATCAGCTGATAATGGGTGAATTGTTCTGTGCCTTCCCCTGAAGAGGAAAGCAAAACTCAGGGCAAAAGTAGTCACGGCAACTAGAAGAGCTATGATCTGGGCAAGCATGGAGAAACTACGTGTGGCTATAGGAATATGCCACATGCTGGCAAAGGAAGTAAACGGGGATTTTGGTTATATGCAATCACTGATTCTTTTTTTATTACATTACCAAAAAGTTACAGGGGGATTTACAGCCAACCTTGATTCCAAGTAACAGATTTCCATAAAAGAAATAGGCACAATACATCAGCGTGTGACAAGGTCTCCTTTGTGCTTCATTTGTTTGATATCTCCTGCCACTAGAGGGAGGTACAAAATTGACCACAGAATTATGTCTTGAAAAATAGTTTCCAGGTCATTAAGTAAGTACGGGCCAACATTTGCTGCTGGGATTCTACTGGAAATCTGGAATAAATGACTGATTAATTTCCTCTGGATGTGCAGCAGTGTCACTGAGAATAGAACTTGGATCTGTATGCTTAGATGAAAACTAATTAGAAATACAGTAACATTATGAATCGCAGCCTTGAAAAACAGATCATCTTGGACTTGAAAGTTGAGTACTAGAAATGGTTACATCAGAGACACTACCTCCAGCACAGGAGAAGCTGTCTGAGGGGACTGCTTGTGATATTTAAATTTACTGCTGCATAGGAAACCTAGACGCCAGAACTTCATTTCCAGAAGCTGGCATAAAGCTGTAGAAGGGCCTTAATGACTAAAGCAATAACTTGGATCAAAGCCGCTTATCTGATTTCCTTTTTATGGCTTGAATATGGCTACGAGGAAAGTATGTCAGATATGTAGTATTTAAATATATATTTAAGAGTTGAATCTGCCTAGATAAAAATCTTCAAAAGTACCCAAATGAGTTATACACCGAAGCCCCATCTTTCTAAATAATGTGAGCTATGAATGTAATTCTTACTAAAAATCAGTGGAATTAACTTAAGAGCCTAAATTACTTTTGAGAATGGGATTATATTCCTAAATAATTTGAGATTTTGAAAATACAACCCGACAGATATAAATCTGGTGCAAAGTAAAGAGCCTGTCAAATAATCTGAGTTGAACAGGTTTAGGCCAAGAAGTTCTGTGGAACACATGTGCAGGTTTGTAGAGAAGCAAAATCTTCCACTTGCAGCAAAATTGCTCTCTAATTGCTCACATTGCTCAGTCTTAAAAGAGCAGAAACGTCTGGTGAGTATGAGTGGAAGAATGGTTGTTCATGGCTCTGTACAGCTGTATCCAGTGGACTTTACAGCACTGTAGCTAAACATACCTCTTCAGTAAAAGATGGTTTCCCGCATGGATTGCATTTTTCAGAAGAGAAGGCAGAACAAGTTCATCTGTCTCCATTGTTTTGTTCCCATTATAGGAACCAGGGGGGGTGGTGGTAGAAAGGAATGAGCAGGAGTGAGATAGGAGAGCAGGAAAAGTGCAAGGGAGAAGCAAAATTTACCTCTTAGTGCTTCATAGGTGGATGATAAAAGTACTAAGGGGAAAATTTTCACAAGCTCATCACAAGCAGCTATTTCTCTCCATTACCTTCATTTTTACAGTTGGACTCGATGATCTTAAAAGGTCTTTTGCAACCAACTGATTCTGTGATTTTTGCAAATCTGTTTTACCATATAAATATGATAAACAAAATACTAAACATACACTTTCTATGTCTGTAATTGCAGTGGCTCTTGCCCTGTCTGTGTAGTGGACTAGTTACAGGTTATACGTGTTGGTGTGAGACACCAGTTCTAGCTAGATGATATCCACAAGTCAGAATTCCTGTGTTACAGTGAATTACATATAACCTTTTCAGACTCTGCTGTGAATCCTTGTACTGTGAATCCTTCTCACAGGAAGGATTTATCTGAAGAAAGGATCCCTATTTGTGTGTAATGCTGTGTTAAAATAGCTATATTGAGATGTAGCATCAAGGGCACTTTCGGTCTCCCTAATTCAAAGGACTTTTCATCTCTAGAAAAATAACCAGAGATTTTTTTCTTAGTTCTGCCAGTAACAGTATAAATAGAATGTTTGTCTAACAATTGAACAAAAATGCTTTAAAGTTAAGGGGTTTTAATCATAAATTTGGAATGCTTATCTAGCAAATTAGACCTTGCTACTGAGGTCAATGGGTTTTCTAAAGAATGCTCAAGAGCAAAGATTAAATACAGTGTGTATTTTCCCAGTTGATTCAAGACTGTGCTGTACACAAGATGGTCACTTCATTCTTTGTTCAGTCAGCCTTCATTACATCTACCTTTAGAGTAATTCGGGCTGAGTCATGATGCTATCACATCTCAGAAGTTTCATTCATTCATTTTAATGGTCTGGATTCTTTAGATGTCCAACGCTGCAAAGTGGATGCCAAGGTCTAGAAATTTCCAGCCTGTTCCAGGGTACATTGAAATCACAAAAAGCTTCAGTGGTTCAGGCCCAGATCAGCCCTAAGATTTTGTTCAAAAAGTTTGACAGTATTGTAATACACTGGGGCAAGCTGATTTTTTTCCTTTATCAATGTCAGGAAAGACTCAAATGCCATTGTCTGCCACAAGTGTTTTGAAATGGATACCACCCGTCATAAGCATCCAGAAGTGTTAGTTAATTCCATTGTCCCTGAGTTTTGAAATAAATGAGAGGAAGAAAAATAATTGTGATTACACCAATGTGATGGTAGACAAATGTAGCCCAGTTTACAAAATCGGTCTTAAATTTGACTTATGCTAGAAATTTTCTATTGTTATTATGATAGGGTTGTCTTTCCACCTATGAAGTGTTTGCAGTTTATATTTCTATCAGCTAAAGCCCTAATACAGACGCAATTTAAGCAGGAAAACAGTTATTGTGGTGCAGTTCATAATAAATTCACAGAAGTGGAATGAGTAACTCAGCACCTTTGACTGAAGGTTTTTTTGAAACAGCATACAATTAGTTGGAATCACAGCTCATTTCTAGAGGAAATCGAGAGAACGCTCCTAAAGTCCCTAAATGTTCATCTACTTAATCCATACTGATTTTGGTTATGTACAGCGAAAATGGAGTTTCTGTAGAGATGGTATAGAACCAATACACGTTATGGCAAATTTGTTTGGCTGTCACAGAGCTCAAGTGAATTTTATAAAACTGTGCTCTAAAGAGACATAGATTCTATGTGTCAACCCTACAATAAAATCTATGTACTATGCTGTGCAGAAATCCACTTACTGCAAGGATTCTCCCTATAGGCACACATATGAGCCACGTAATTTAGGGTCAAGGCTACAGTACCTCCAATAAAATGTTGAGCGCATCTGATACTGAGAAAAGGATTATGTTGTGATAATACAAAATTAAATCAACTGTGGTCAGTTTCCACAACTAGATGATAGAATGGCTCTATTGTCCTTCCAAGTAAAGCTAATGTAATATTTAAAAATAAAGTTATGTATAAAAGTAACAACAATAATCTAAAAACATAAGGAGGAAGTAAGCACCAAGCAGTGTAAGACAAATTGTCATGATCACATAATATATCCAGAATCACAAACATGAATCTAAGCCATTGAAGTGATTGACATTTGATAGTTTATTTTCTGTGTTTATTTTCTATCGTGACTAATAATTTACTTGATTTCATCCTGGCCTTTATTTTGTTAGGCAGGTGCTGCTTGCTGAAGCCAGCGAACAGCGGGTGCTGACATACCAGGGAGATATACAGCCACTTCTTGCCTAGGCTGTCGACTCACTGTGTGTGTCCACAAGCAGCTGAAGGAAACAGGAGTCTGGTGCAGCTTTTGAAGACACGCAACTAGAAGCAAGTGTGTGTCTCTTAACCAACTGGTCATTCACAACTGGAACGCTATAAATTTTAAGGAAACATGAATACCTTACTCTGGCAGTAGTTCACCAAGTTCAAGTGAACCTCTTGGAGATATTAAAAGAAAAACATGGCGATTAATTTGAAGTACAAAACACTAGCAGAAACATTTTGCAAGAAGTCAGTGAGTCATATTTTCCTCATAAAATTGTTGAAACCATTGTGCCCAGAAACAATTAAATATGTGACTAGAAATGGAAAAGCTTAGCCATAAACACAAACAGACACCAGCTTTTTGTTTGCAGAGGATAAAGGTCATTTGGCTTGAGGAATATCCTAATACTAGCAGAGACGAAGCAGAACGTGCAGTTTGAGTGGACTCACTGCTGCACAGAAGCTCAAATGTTTGGCCTTAACATGCCTGGATACTTTGGTTACACTGAAGGTTAAATGTTCATAGTCTGTTATGGCAAATCATTGGCACATCATTGAAATAGGGACAAACATACTCTTTTACTTTGAAAAAAAATACTCTTTTGATTTATATTAAAAATACATTTCTGAGATCTGAAGTCTCAATCTTGCAAAATAGCATGTATTAAATGTTTGGTTAGATTAGTACCTGGCAGTTTGGAGGTCTGTTTAAGACTAACAAGCTTTGTAAGACTTTTTCAAGACCTCTTGTTTTTTCCAGTAGTTTGGTGTTTCTATTGCACCTGGCAATAGACTCCTTCGGTTTGGCCTGGTATTTTTGCTCTCTACATATGCCAGCCCTTAGCTAGCTACGGTATACACATTCTGTGCTTTTTGGGAAGGTTAAACATGAGGAAGTACCTCTGCTCCCCAGGGCATAGCCCTTGTATTTATGAGTTTGGAGACATTGGCCTACACAGCAGAGGTTACAGGTTGGAAGACAGACCTGAACTCAGCTTTGTCGGGGGTCCTTACCTGATTTATTTCTAGCCTAAAGAGAGAGTTGCATTTGAGATGTGTCCAGATGCTTTTCCTCAGGGGCAGTTGTAACGTAGCTCAGCACTTTTATACAGACACTCTGGCTAGCAAAACCCTCTGTTTAAACAACTGCATTTATAAATCTTTCTTACAAATAAAATGTTGTCTTGACATCCTACTTATGGTCTTCTACTCAGAAGTGTGAAATGAGCTGCAAGATTTCTAAGTTGCTACAAAAAATATATATGCAGGTGTGTACCAAGAACTATTTGATTTGTCGACATTATTTCAAAGAAAGATAACCCCTTTAATGGTGCTTTCCTAACATTACTTAGATTCTCTTCATTCTTACAAGAGGGAACTGTGAAGATGAGCTTGTGAATTGCTTTCGAGTGTAGCTACGCATTACAGCAGAGCATGACACGGTCAGTGGCCTTGAGGACTGAGCTCTGTGCAGTTAAAAAAAAAACAAACGACCCATGAGAATTTTTAAATGCTTATGGCTATGCACAAGTGAGGTCCAATTAACCTCTCATTTTGACTAATTGTGTATCTTCTTGAAGTCCAGAATTAGATTTGACTTATAAAAACACATGTGGCAACAGAATCAAGTCTAGGCAATTTAAGCAATTTCTTTCTTTCACCAACTGAGTTTTGGGGGTCTGTACATTTCCAACTTCATTCTTCACATCTAGAGTTCAGTACCACAGATTGGTACTTCAGGAGACTACTCATCATTTTCCACTGTCTGTTCTCTGTCAAGGGTCTGCCTGTTTTTGTTTGTTTCATATCTATGTGTTTCAAAGGCTTTCAGTCTCATGCAGCCTTTAGGAGTACTATAAAATAAGGCAATCTTCTCCTGGACTTTCTTCCTCCCTTTTACTCACGAACTAACTTTCCCAGGTTAGAGAGCTCAAGAATAGATCCTGGGAATCTGGCTTAGCCTTGGTGAGGGATGTGGTCAATAACCATGAGGCTCTTCCTCTTATTTCTTCCTTTAACAGCTTGTTACGCAATCACATTTTTCAGTAAGTTGCGTGTTTTTTCAGTCTAATGATCCTTTTGATGGGGTGACTGTTCACAGGCTTATAAGCATCTGAAAACTAGAGGAAAGAATGGAAAATATTTTGAAACTTCAGCTGTGTTGTGATGCAAATAAAATTTCTGATTGTGTTAAGGAGGCATCCTTTCAAGCAAGAGAACATTATTGCTGTACAGTTTGATTAACGGGTGATTAAGATGCACCTAGATTTTTCCATGTAACAGATTTCTATTGATGCTACTGAAGCTATGGAGTCACGTGGACTTGATGCACTGAGACACAAAATACCTAGCTGTGTCCAACACCTCTTTTGACAAACTAGGTAGCTTGCAAAGCAGGTAGCTGTTTTGCTCAACTTTATCATTTTCACATCTTGTTCTAAAATCTTTTGCCTGTTTTTCATAGGTGTATTCATGAGCTTGGCACGGCCTGTAGAAAAGGCAGAGAAATGGGAGCCTTAGACCTCAGCCCAGGGAACTGACTGAGCAGCTTCTAATGAAGCAGTCAGGTCTCACTGCAGGACCTCTGCTTGTGGAAATCCATTACAACTTTTGTTACTGCTTTGGTAGATAATGATACCTAAAGCATAGTCACTTACAGTAATCCCCTGTACTTGCAGACTAGCCCAGAATTAGCAAACCACTCTCAAATCTCACCTCTCTTGGGAAGTATAGTTCAACCATTCAGTTCTTTATGTGCAGTCTGGAAGAGTGCTGAGTTAGGTTGTTCTCCAAGTTAGTGGCCCAGCCACGGAAAGAGTCTTATCCTGATGTTTCTGAGCTTCTAGTCTGACTGATCGTAGCCATGCTGGTGGGATAATGTCAGGCATAGGGGAGGGGTTGAGTGCGGATGTTTCTTTCCAGTATCTACTCTGATAGATTAAGAGCTCCCTGTTCTTCAGAGCACGTTTTATAATGTAGGACAAACTTCTGCATGAAGCATCTCCAGGTAGAGCTCTTTATTGGAGTTTGTACTTCTCTCTACAAATAGATACTCCAGCTTTTTGGTTTACTCAGTTTTACTCAGTTGCGGTGTTTACATTACAGCAGATTGAGGGGGGGAAGGAAGGGAATTTTTCTGTATATTAACTGTCTGGGTGATTTTCTACAGCTGCTTTGAACGATATGTCTGTTACTTATATTGCAACTTGGATTCTGTAGACATATGGCAGAGAACACAATTCTCCAGAAGGCAAAAGAGTTTGACTGATGGAAAACAGAAGAGAGCAGTCCAAGAGAAATCCTGCCAGAGGAGGAGCATGAACCCAAAATTTACTGTTGAAACCAGACTTCTGCCTTGGGCTTAAACACCACACTCAGCCAATTCTACCATTGACTTCAGTGTGGCTCTGCACAGATGCAAAGAACTGCTTTTTGGACCTGACTAAGTCTGGAGCTTAAGTATTGTTCTGGCATCCATACTGATTTGGCAATACACCGGTTGGCCTGAGCTCCTTAAGCAGTGGGACAATTACAGGGTTTTTAAAAAATCAGAAATGTAGAGAGCCTGTGAATTGAGGCTATTCTGGCTTTTACATAGTGAGTTTGTAAAATCAATCAGAAATTGAAGAGGGCATAAGAGATTTCATTTTAGACTATTCAGTCCCTTATTAATTGTGTTGTGGATGGCAACAGAGGAAACGTGTATAGCAGACAAGTCTTTTTTTTCTATTTAATCTACTGTCTGGTGTTCTGACTTTCCACTTCCATGCAGCTCAGCACTTGCAGCAGCACAAGTCTAAGCCTGGACTGCCAAGAAGGTTTTGTCTCATCTGTTTTTCTGTTTATTTCAGAAGCTGATAGACTTACTGATTGGCAATCATGTCGGTCAAGCTCACATTTGTCTCTCCTGGTGATGGGGGCGGTATCAGCAGGAGTTGTTCCTTCACTGGATTCAGCACTGTGCAAAGCAGAAAATTAGCGTAAGTAACACAGAAAGAAAAGCACCTGATTGTTTGGGCAACAGACACTAGGTACCGTGAATGTATTTTTTAACCTAAGGCATCTATGTGTAAAATTGTTCCTTATTTTTTATCTTAAAACTATTGAGTGTTGTCTTGGTTGACTAATAAATAGCTATACTTCACACCGTATTATCTTTCTTCTATACACCCTGTACTTCAGAGATGGCTGGATTTCAGAGGTTATGTATCAGACTGTTAACAGTGTCTGTTTCTTCTAGAAAAGTGAAGGGCTGTGACCCTTGCTGCTAGCAGCCTAGTAGTAACTGATGTTTTCTGACTAAAACCCTCTGAACAGTTATAGTTATTAAAAATCTCATAGATGTCTAAAAAGATGGGGATGTTAATGGTGAATCCTGGCAAAATGTGTGACTGAACCCAACTCCAGTTCTCCTGGAATTACTTAGGCAGAGCAGCATTACATGAGAGGAAGGGCTGCTTTCTGGCAATGCCACAAACGAGAGGAAGGGAGGAATACAAGCAGGCCAAGGGGGCCACTGCAAATTCGCTGCTATCAGTAACAGGTCTATAGTATAGCCAAGGTTGCTGTCCAGTCTCCCAGTCTTCAGTCAAGCCCTGTAATTGCTAAACCATCCTGCGCTGTTTTTCCCTTATCATAAATTGTCGAGTAGCATTGCTCTGTGTGATAACTGTGCCGCTTTTCCGATATCTCTAGTTCTTTTTCTGAATTTAATGATCCCTGTATAGCCTGTTGACTCTTTTAGAAGATATGATATATAAATGGAAAATATATGTAATTTCTGTCTGCCAGTGAATGCTAGAATAATAATAAACTGAATAATTTAGCAGTATCCTATAGAAGTATTGGAAAGTATGCCTATAAAAGTATTGTACTCAAAAAAATTGTATTGTGTATCAGTAAAATACCTGCCTTGTCATAAAATATATTTTTAAAGAACCAAATGGCTGAATTAACCTTTTAGTTAAACACAGCATGGTAAAGTATGAGCAAAAATGAAATTCCAGCATGATTATGATGCAATCAAGAAGTCTTCACATTCGAATAAATTAGTTTGTTGTGGAAGCTGAAAAATAATATTATACCTAGCAAAGGTTGGACATCTAAAATGACACCAATTGCTAAGATCTTGAGAAAAACACTGTCAATAAATTATATAAACAGATTTGAGCTCAAGTGCAGAGTGGGAGTTCTAGCAAGGAAAGGATCTACCAGGAAAAGTGTTGAACATCTGTTTCTCCAACAAAGGCACAGTCCAGCAGGGTACAAATGCTCCAAACAGAAGAGTTCATATATCCCTTAAGATTATCCTGTTACTTTTAGTGGCAAAGTTTTTCTAACAAATGCCTCTCTCTATGCATTTTTTATTATGTTCCTTTTCATTATTTAAGTGATTAGATGGACAGTTTCATTCAGGAATCACTGCAATAAGGAAAATTTATGTGCTAGATACTCAGTCACAGCCCAGTGAACACCCAAGAACCTTCCCCAGCATAGTGAAGAAATTTTTTAATTGCCCTTTCCTAACTTATCTCTCCCTCAGGCGCTGTTGCAAAACACAGCAGGAGATTGCAGGGGCCCTATGCAAGGTCTATCCAAAGGATGACACACAAATCGGGTCCACATGGAGATTCTTAAGCAGATGCTAAATATACTTTTGCATTTCTTTTGCAACTTCCTTTTGAGGCTCTCAGTCAGACACATTATTTCATTTTTCCTCACAATGGTCTCCAAAGGAAGTAAATATTATTACTGTTATCTATAAAGTGGGAAATCTAATACTTAAGTTATTGAAGTTCACAAGGGAAAGCAGCAACATAACATCTAGCTTTTAGCTACTGTCCCTAAAGGCCCATGTCAGCCACTTAACTTTTCTATGAAACGTATTAAAATGGGATTCTTAACATCAGTGCACTGAGTACGTATGGGCTACATCAGTCAGTAGGAAATACTGAGGCAAATGGTGAGTTTTAAATCCCTGCCTATCCATATGCAGTGCTTAGATGCTATACTTTAACTGAAGAGAAATGATTTCCTGAATTTAGGATTTGCAGTCCAAAACTCTGAAGGTGAATATCAAAGTCCTTTCCTTTCAAAAAATAAACAAAACCCAGGAGTAAATTGGGCTTTTTAATTTCAAAAGATAGGATTATCTTGTATCTTCCATATGGTATCTTGCTAATTAGAGTACTCACCTAAAGCAGGGAACTGGATGCTATTTCCTTCTTTGCATGAAAGAATATCTTTATCAATGACCTGGATGAGGGGATTGAGTGTGCCCTCAGTAAATTTGCAGATGACACCAAACTGGGTAGCAGTGTCGATCTGCTTGAGGGGAGGAGGGCTCTGCAGAGAGACCTGGACAGGCCGGATCGATGGGCCGAGGCCAACTGTATGAGGTTCAACAAGGCCAAGTGCTGGGTCCTGCATTTTGGTCACAACAACCCCATGCAGCGCTACAGGTTCAGGGAAGAGTGGCTGGAAAGCTACCTGGTGGAAAAAGACCTGGGGGTACTGGTTGACATCCGGCTGAATCCGGCCAGCAGTGTGCCCAGGTGGCCAAGAAGGCCAATGGCATCCTGGCCTGTATCAGGAATAGTGTGACCAGCAGGAGTAGGGAAGTGATCGTGCCCTTGTACTCGGTGCTGGTGAGGCCGCACCTCGAATACTGTGTTCAGTTTTGGGCCCCTCACTACAAGAAAGACGTTGCATTGCTGGAACCCATCCAGAGGAGAGCAACCAAGCTGGTGAGGGGTCTGGAACACAAGTCATACGAGGAGCGGCTGAGGGAACTGGGGTTATTTAGTCTGGAGAAGAGGAGGCTGAGGGGAGACCTGATCGCCCTCTACAACTACCTGACAGGAGGCTGTAGTGAGGTGGGGGTCGGCCTCTTCTCTCTGGTAACAGATGATAGGACGAGGGGGAATGGTTTGAAGCTGCGCCAGGGCAGGCTTAGGCTAGACATTAGGAAAAACTTCTTCACCGAAAGGGTTGTCAGGCTCTGGAATGGGCTGCCCAGGGAGGTGGTAGAGTCCTCCTCCCTGGAGGGATTTAAAAGAAGGATAGATGAGGTGCTTAGGGACATGGTTTAGTGGTGGGATGGCAGGGGTAGGTTAAAGGTTGGACTCGATAATCTCAAAGGTCTTTTCCAACCAAAGTGATTCTGTGATTCTATGATTCTAATTTTAAGTGATGATCCTCCTAGGAGACTTTTTCAACTGCTGTTATTGACTAGACTGTCCCTTCCAGTGTTATTGCTGTTGAAACCCTCTAACTTTGCATGGAATACTCAAAGATTTATGATCTTACAAAAGAAAACAATATTAATGTAAGTTTCTAATTTAACAGTTATGATCTTCATTATAGGTAACCTGAGCTCCAAATGGTTTGGTTAATTAATATTTTACATTAGGCCATCAGAAAAAACTAAGATAAGCATTGAGGTGAAGAAACTAAATATCCAGTAATGTTTGGCAACACCTGATTTTATCAGATTTTTTGCAGATTATATATTAAAAAATGGAGCTAAGTTAATTTAGCACCAGGATAATTAAAGTAGTTACTTGAAGGTTTCTATAATAGGACTGGGGATGGCTCCCAGGTGTGCTGGGCCCAGGATTTAATCACCAAGCTCAATAATCTTCTTAGGCCCTCAATCACATGCCTAGAGCTTAAAACAGCCAGTGGCTAAGCATTAAGCCTGTTGAAGTTCATCATTTTTCCAGGTGAGTTGAATTTAGGATAGAGATTGCAGAGGAGGTGGAAAGCTTCTCTGAGAGCAACCAGTTGGCTTGGCTTTGTGGAATGGGAAGCTTCTTTAGATAGTATTATTTTACAGGCTTGACTTTCAGGGAGTATTAACAAAACTATATAAAAATAACTAAGACTTAGAGGAGCGTATAGATAGAGGTAAGCCAGGCAGGAATTGGATAAGAACCATTTGTAGAGATCTCATTTTCTGGTTTAAATGTTGTAGGTAAATATAACTAATGGCTTGGGGTGTTGTAACTCTTTAGATTAGCACAAAAAATCCTCTGTGTGGGACTTCTGTTAGAAACAATATTTAATTTTGTTTTTGCAGTTGCTCTTAAAAGTGAGCTGTTAGACACTGAAAAAACACCTTGGTTATTATATCTTTTATGCAGTCTGGGCTTGGTAGCTTGCTTTTCTAAAACACGGTAGGGTTCTAAGCCATCACTTAAATAGATGGTGAATGCAGGCAAAGAAATAGCTATTTCTAAAGGCTTTTCACATTAGCTTGAACAGTTAGACCTTGAGCAGATCAAAAATTTGTTGCCTTGTTTTCCTGAATTGCAGGTGAGAGTCAGAATGGGAATGTCCTTGTCCTGCAGTGTGGCTTACTTGACTAGCTCTGTAGTTGACTCAACAACCAGTGTGAATGTGCATACAGAACAGGGCCTTAGCTAGCTGCTGTGCGTGACTGTTAAGACGATTGCTAGCAGTATGAACGTTAACTTGTTATTAACCTGTTCTAAAAATGAGCTTTTCTTTTTCTTGCTCAGCGTCCCCCACCTTCCCAAAGAAATGGGGACCCGTTCAGTTTTTCTTTATTTAAAAAGGATAAAAGAGAACCAGTAGGCTTCTCAGAGTCTGCGTCAAGCTTGGAGAAGGAGATGTTTCTTATTGAAATGATTTTTGCTAAAGTCACAAAAAACTTGCAGCTTTTCTGCACTAGGTATTTAGGGCTGAGCCTTAACTTTCTAATGTTATCTGTGAAAGTATTCATAGTGTGTCCAAGAGCTTCGTTCTTTTGAATAAAGGTATATGGGATTGGGCATATAATTTGTAGCCTGGAAGGTTTGTGGGTTAGGCATCTCTCTTCTCCCAGGTGATGGGATTTGCATCCTTCCTATATTTCTTTTCTCTTTCTACAGAAAATCTCTCGGCAGAAGTTCAGTGAGATCAAGAATGTCACTGAAATCCCCCAAGGCTTATAATTCCCTGCAGAAGGGGGCAGTCATCTGGGATCCAAAGCCGCTGCAGGTGAAGAAAATTTTTGAAGCTTTGAAGAAAGGACTTAAGTAAGGACTTTTAAAATATTGTCATTTGCCTCATCTAGTCATGCTGCTTAAGTCTGTGTGTCACTGTTCTCTGTCTCCATCTGGCATCTCTAAACATATGTAGTGACTTTCCCAGACACTGGTTTGGGACCTTGTAGAACAAGTTTCATTCACTCTCAGACAGTCTGCTTGCAAACGAAGTGCTCTGCTGTTTTTATTTGTTCCTAGTTTGTTAAGTTTCTCTAAAAAGTCAGTGATGGGTAGAACTCTGTGGGGAGATTCTCCATCTCTGGGGGAGCAACTAAGCTCCATTGAGGAAGGGAGGATTTCAGAGCATGCAGGGTGACAGGCAGAAAGTCTGCAGATTAAGGAGAGATTTGGTTAGGGATGGGACAGCGAGACCTGGGGGGTGATTGGCAGAAAGTTTCTGGAGAGGGAGCTGTGTGGAGTTTCCTTTGACTCAAAAAGCTGTCTTAAAACCAAGTCTGAAAGCGAGGGTGTGCCCTGCAAGGACACAGTGGGGAGGCTGGTTCATAAACCACTTCTATTCTGTCTATGCTAATTGGAGAACACTTAAAGAGTTAGATATTATAGTGGGGGTTTTTTGGGTTTGGTTTTTTTCTTTTAATAGAATTAAACTCTGGAGTTCAAAAGTCCTCTTTCATCTCTGGGTGGCTTGTTGTAAGGGAAAGGTCTAAGCAGATCCACCTGAAAGCTTCAGCTGACTTGAGGTGATGAAACAGAGCTGTACTATAACTCCATCTTCTTATGGCAATGTAAATAACATTATCCTGCTTTAAATGTAGTGTTATCTCAAGATTTTTATTATGGCTGACTGCACAGTCAATGTTGCGTCAGTACAGACTTGAGTAAAAAGGCTAAAGCCCAATATTGTCCATTGTCTCTGTCTGGCAGATGTGGGGTGTAGGCAGCAGACGTAATAGAGATCAAAGGATGGGTTGGCTATCTGAATTTAGGGTATTCTGGCTTTGAGGAAGCTGTCGGTTACCTCACAGAAACACTGATATTATTCAGTACTGAAATGGCAATAAAACATGGATGAGCTTGCTCTTTTGGTATTAGAGACCAGAAAGGAATGGTGGTAGGGGCTGTTTGCCTCTGTCAGTGGTTGAAACTGATCAACCTTTAACTGGGGCCTCAAATCTTAATATATAAAAATACATCTTAAATTGTTACTGTTGATGGATCTAGCCTAATATCATAGGAACTTCATTTACACCCTGGAGCTACTACTGGAAGATAAAATACCTTTCTTTGGATTTGTAAACCCTGTAGCTCTTTCTGCTGGCATCCTACTAACAGTTCCTTTGCATATGTTGCTGCTGTCCTCAGAATTTTGCTACTGTATTAATTCTGATGATAGTTTGTTTTCTTAAGCAAAGAACATAAAATGCATTTTAATAATACATTGTAAACGCAGATGTGTCACATTTATTCCAATAAATGACTATGAAGTCTTGGCTCTAAAAATATCAGTCAAATGTCTTATTAGTGGATTTAGATTTAAAACAAGTAATGAAACCAAATGTTTTTGCAGAGTTTAGAATTTATCAGAGCTTAGGGAGGAGAAACCATAAAGCGGATCAGAATTTGTTCCCAGTTCTGCAGGGAATGCCATATGATCAGACTCCTGCCAAAACTGAGCAGCTAACTAATTGACTAAAGTAACCTACAGAAAACAACTGTATCAAATAGCAATGCAAAGTCCAAATTTTAAGTAGATGCAGACTAAGCCCACTTGGTGCCTGAGTGACTTGAATTTTTAGTACAGAACATGTTTTACGTGCCTGTTTCTTTATAGCTATAGCAAATAACTCTTTATTCTGTTAACTGTCTGAGTACCATTCCATGAAGCTAGACTTAAATCTAAAAGTGATGAAGCTCTTCTAAATGGAAGGTGAACCCTTTTCTGCCACCAGCCTTGGCTACTTCTGCACTGAGCTGTTAACGGGCAAGCGTAAAGAGCAGACAGCTGAATGCTGGAGCCACTGGGTATTGGGGTACTGGGTTTGTAGCAGAAAGAAAATTAAATGCATCAAAGCAAATGTGAAGAAATGCAGCTGTCTAAAGTGAAATTATTTTGACTGCTCAGAGACTGTGTCCTATAATGTACTGTTTACCAGGTGACTCTTTTTCTCCTTTAAGCATAAGAGGAAAAAGTTACCTAAGTCTGGTCTGTATTAAAAAGCAAAGTTGGAAGAAGATGGTCTCAGCAGAAATAGTTTAAGGCTCTGTGGGAACTCCTAAGGGACAACCCTTGCATGCAAGCAACTCTATAGAAGCCAACTGGCACCGAGTGCTTCACACCTTGCAAAATAGTTCTTATTCTGGAAAAAGTAATGCTTACATTAAGAAATTGTCTAGCAAACTAAAAGGTGGTATTCAGCTCTGTTTGCTAAAACACTGAATGACACGTGCCCTATCTTACATGCGGAGTACTTCTATGAGCTTGGTTTTATAGTGCAAGAGATTGCTCAATAAATAAACTGATCTTCCACCTTACAGAAAAGGTCCCAGAATCCAAAACAGGAGTAGGTAGAGAAATCTGAAAAGGTGATCTGTGACTGGGTTATGTGTTTGTTAGAACTTGCTGGTCTCCTCCTACATCCCTACTTTCCTCTTGCCTTTAGTAGTACTTTCTGCTCTACTGTTTTGTTTTGCCTTACATTCCAGAATAAAGCCTATCTTTCACCTGAGTGATCTTTAGATGAGGGGAAACAAGAAATAGTGGATGTCTGAGTGCATTGCGTGCATGTGTACATGTATATACCTTATGCAGCAGTGGTGGCCTTCTTGAATTGCACTGTAGCATTCTACATCTTGGAGGAGTAAAAAGGATTCAGGAGGATTCCTAATGAACAGCACCTTTAAATGCTAGGTAACAGTAATCAGCATCTCCTGGCACTCATTGTGTACAGATGCTCCTTTCGCAGCGACTTTGCATTTAGGACAAAAATTTGTCTCTGGAAACCACCTTTCTCATCTGTTGACCCATGTTCCTCTATATAGTCATTTACATCTCTAGAGAGTAAACCAAGAGAAGTCATCTAGAGAAGGAAGTTGCTTTGCAGCGTTCTGCTGAAAAATTCTTTGAGGAGGTGTTATAATGAATGTACCAGAAGAATGTAACATTGAGTTTTCTTCCTCTCCAGTGAATACTTGGAAGCACATCAGGCTGAACTGGATTATCTCTCTGGTCGACACAAAGATACAAAAAGGAACTCCAGATTGGTAAGATGCTTTTAATGTTAAATACTTAAATGACTTTAAAAATAAAGTCACAAAAGTAGATGCTTTCTCACATCTGGGATTCTCCAGGGCTTTTCCAGTTAAAGCACTGAGGTGAGGTCCAGCAAGGCATTACAATCTATTTTACTAAGCAGGCTTGCTCTAGATGTAAGAATTAAACTTTGGATTTCTCATTTTCAATATCCAGCAGTGTTATTCAGATTGTGTTCCTTTACTGGGGTGGTATCTCCTTGTGTCTGTTTAGTGATCAGTGTTCGTGCCTCACTCTGCATGGACATAAATGGCAATAAAGATTGGGCTTTGTTTTCCATAGTTGGTGAATGTGTCCTTGTGGCTTAGCTTCTGTCAAGCTCACAACTCCCTAGCAGTACCTTCATCAACAGTGCTAATGAAAAGACAACTCGCATATCCAACTCTGCCTTTTAATTGGGAAATAATAGCTAGATTAAAGAAAAAAATCAAACTGTCATATACCGTGACCAATGTCCAAGTCCTTGTTATAGCTGGTGGTGACACTCTCACTGTCTCGTTTTAAGCATCTGTGAAAACAAACCAACCAACCATGCGTAGAAAATGAAACTACTAAAAATGTTGGACTGTCTTCTTGTAATAAGTAATGCATCTTGATTTAGGGTAACTTAAGATATGCATAGTGAGTCTTGTAGTACATATGAAAGTATCATTAATATGTACAAATGTACATGCTCTCCTGTTCAGCCTGTACTATTTCTCTTTCAGGCTTTCTACTATGACCTGGATAAGGTAAGACTACTGAGGGTGAAATTAAATGTTGCAAATAAAGAAAAATGAATGATGTGTCTACTGTGTTACTTAAAGGCATGTTTAGGAAATAATTTCTCAAGTCCCCTTCTCTCTCCCCTCCAAAAGCAAATCCGCTCTGTGGAGAGATACATCAGAAAACTGGAGTTTCACATAAGCAAGGTAAGGCTTACATTGCTGAGCAAACTCTAAATAGAAAATGCTTTGATTATAATTCATGTGAAGGGGACTAATGCTGGGTACTTTCTGAAAGCTGTAACCACTCTTTTTACAGAAGGAGGGGATTTTTATTTATTTTCTTGAATGGTTCTATTCAGGCTGAATGTTGGGTGCAACCCAACCTGAGTTTGCCTCTGAAGCCAGTTTGCATGCTCTGCCAGTTTGTTCAGAAAACGTTGCTGTGGGAACTTTCACGTTCTCCCCCCTTCGCACAAGGGGCCAAATGGGCAGTTCTGTAGAGTGCATGACTGCTGTCTGCCATCTGCTTCCAAAGGAATGAAATCTCTCCTCTGACATAACCAAAGGTGTAGGTGTTTTAATCTGTATTGAGGGAATCTATTCCCCACGCCTCAAGTAATTTTTCCCTAAACAAAGCGTTACTCTATTATCAGACTAGAAGACAAGGAATAGCAGTGAATTGTTTCTTAAGATCCCATGCTTTTTGCAGGAGTGTCTGTAAACTCTTGCACTCTAATCAGCCTGTAAAATGCAGGAGCTGCAGCATTCTGCAATACTGTGATAGTGGGATTTGGTTGGGTTTTTTGGTAGGAAAGACTGCTGATGTTCCTTTCCAAAAATTATTAAAACTATGCAGGGGTAATTCTTGTTCATTCTTCCCCCATCCCCAAATCTTAAAGGTAGAAGAACTCTATGAAGCTTACTGCATCCAGTGCAGACTACGAGATGGAGCCACCAATATGAAACATGCCTTTTCCTTATCTCCTTCCACCAAAGCCTCCAGAGAGAGCCTAGTGGAGCTTTACAAGAACTTCCAAGAGTGCACAGAGGTAGGAAATACTATAAGCATGTAATGAACACCTGACTATTCCATAGCAAAAAATATACTAGGACTTGCTGCTGGCTTTTTATTAATGGTGCATGTTAAGAACTTAACATGGGAATGAAATGCAGGTACATATTGTGAACTGAAGCTTGTGAGTTAAATACCTTACAAGCAAAGCTCTTTAATTCTATGGCCTTTTTTTTTTGCCCCTACTCAGCTTGGCATCATGCATTCACGAAGGCAAGTGAAAAATCCTTTGAATTTCTGCTTTAATACTGGGGTCCATTATGACTTACACACCAGAAGTAATGGGATGAGAATTGAATAATGAATAAGCTGTGCTATTTTTACAAACAAGCAGTGGAAGCTAACTGACAGTGAACTGCTTACGAGTTTCACTCTTCTGTGGAGTGGCATCACAATTTTCTACCTTAAAAGTAGTATGAATGGACGCTGTATCAGCCTCCACTAGTGAAAATGTTAGTGTGTGTTCTTTAAAAAAAAAAAAAAAGCCAAAGTCCTTTAAAGAAAACTGCATGTATGGGAAGGTAGCTACTCTGCTGCTTTTCAGCCATAGTGACTGTTCAGTCTTTCTTCTAGGACATGTGCTTTATAGAAGGGGCGTTGGAGGTCCATTTGGGAGAGTTTCACTTGAAGATGAAAGGTATGCTCCTTTCTTGTCTCCTTCAAGACTCATCAATTGATTTTTGGGTTTCCTATGTAGCAATCTGATCCACTGAGGGTCTGTTTATTCAATGTCGGTTGCTTCCACTGACTTTCTGGATCAGACCCTGAATAGAATTTTGGCAAACTTCTGTTTGCTTCAGCACTGTAAAACAGATCTACAAAGCTTTTTATATTTTAGTACAAAAGCTGACAAGCTTTCTTTCCTCAGCTCAATTAAAGTTTGTCCTTCTAAGAGTATTTTGGCCTGGTGGCATAGCTTCTGCACAGGGTTGAGCACAAGGGGGTGTTAGCCAGATAGTTTCTTCATCTATTGCTAGCTGAGGCTTTGGGGGGGAGCGTTGTAAAATTCTACAAGTATTAGGAGTTTTCTTTCTCTTTTCAGGGTTGGTGGGCTTTGCACGTCTCTGCCCGGGGGACCAGTATGAGGTGCAGTATGAGCGATTAATTTTGTCCTTTATATTACTGCTGTGGGTTTGCAGTAGGGGAACAGGAGAGAAAGGGTGCAACACGTAGAAGGCAAGCGGGAAGCAGGCTGTGATAAAACCGTGCACTGTTCTGATGAGAACTGTGCTTTAGCACGTTCACTAGTTTCTCTGCCCTCTGAGACTGAAGAGGGAAAGATGTAATTCAAGCATTATGGGAGGCTTTAAAAGATGGCAGTTTTTGTCTATCAAAACCAACCTGTCAGGTCTTTGTCTTCAAAGTTTCCCTGGAATCAAGTAGCAGTTACTGGCTCTTTCTTGGAAGATTGCCCTTGGCATGCTTTGAACTCATCTTAGTACCTTACTGGTTGCTCTCCTACTTCTAACAGTTCCAAATGAATTCCAGTGTGCCTTGTATTTCAGTACTGCTACACTTGCTACGCAATGTAGTTTTGCAGTTCTAGAATGGGTGCGACGTGTCATTTGGCACAGAGTTAAGGTGTTAAAACCCTCAACCTGAATTCCTGCCTTCAGTCTTCTGGCTTTATCCAAGTTCCTAAATGTATAGTGATCAAAGGAATGGCTTTGCCTCTGCAGTACTGGAACAATGTGATGCCTATAGACTGAAGGGAACATTCTGGAATATGTTGACCCAATATCTGTTTTCCTTGTGGTTTCTAGGTGTTTGTGCGACTGGGACGCCAAAAATGGAGGTTGAAAGGCAAGATTGAGACCGATGACAGCCAAACATGGGATGAGGAAGAAAAGATTTTTATACCCAATCTCCATGAGAAGTTTGAAATCAAGGTGTGGTGTATAATGGTTGGATTGGAATCAGTGGGTTAACAGGTCTTCTGCCATACTACTCACCTGTTAGGCTACCAAGCGTTTGTCAAAACTCTTAAGTAGTTTTCTTTTCCTAGCCATGTAAAAATGGCAGTGAATCAATGCTCTGCCAGCTGAACAGCCTTCTACTGTTTTACCTTTGCTCCTGGCACTTGTAACTGTATTAGTGCATCTGCTTTCCCATGTTCTGGAGTCTGATGCATGTGGTTGGGGGTTTTCTTGTTTGTTTGTTTTGGGAAAAAAAGAGACCCAGATCAGTATCTGGGATTTTCTAGGGTGAAATCTAGATGTGGAGACAAAAATATGTGTATGTAGATACTATTTATATCAACCATGTGGAATGTTAAGTACCTGGAGTTCTGTTCTTTACTGAAAAAGAGAAATATGTCTATGGCAAACATATCATTGCACATGTGTAGTTCAAAACTATTCAATGTGTAATTCAAATGTCGCTTTATCTGGGTGTGCTGCAGATTCTTTTGCATGTTTTACTCCAGAGATGCTCCATATCCGTGAAGAACCAATGACATTTATGTGCTGACACAAACTGTCTGTACTTTAAAAAATAAGTGTCAGAACTCTAAAGATATAAAGTGCCTCGAAGAGATCATATCTTTCACAGTAAGGGACCAGTGCTAGTGGCCTGTGATACATAGATGACACATTGTGGATAGCCCTTGGGGGAAGTTTGTAGTTTTCATAGACCCTTGTGCAGCCACCACTGGTATTGGTTCTGGCACTTACCTAGCAGGTGGAGTTAATCTTTAAACAGCATTTCCACTGTAGCCTGGCATCTTTTGTGGGCTGGACTCTGCAGCATGACTCCTGTCAACCTAAAAGGAGCTGAGATCGAAGGCTGTGCTGGATCCTATTCTGCTAGGAAACTGTGCCAGTGCAGGGTTTCAAGTTTTGGCAGCTGTGTTAAAGCAGCTATTGCAATGTTCCGCTCCTATCTGGCAGCAAGAACTGGGTTACATAGGAGAGACACTTTGACATCTTGCCAGCACAGCCTTTGGGAATGTGCTTATAACACTTTTGGGTTTTTTTGCTGCCACTGAACAATGAAGATCAGGTGAGAGGCTAATTCGGATGCCTTTTTTCCCATAATAGTTGTAAAAACTTGTATTACTTTGCATGACAATGATAGTTTTACTCTCTTTGTCAGGTTATGAAAATCTACTGACTAATGTTCTCCACACCCTCCTGCTCTTTCCACTTTGTACTTAATAATCTTTGCCCAGTACAAATACATAGCAGGTTTAAAAAAAAAAACTAAAAAAAAATTGAGACGTGCCAAAGGGTGTTCCAAGAGGAGCCTAGCAGCATAACTTTTGCTAGCTCTTAAAGGAGATGTAGACATGTAAATTAATTCCCCAAGTGGACTTCAGGCACTTGTGCTAAAATTCTGTGCTGAGTCTGATGCTTTATGTGCTTCTAGAACAATTTGGTCTTCAGTGGAAGTATGTTTTTATAGCAAGTGTTTGATTAGATTTTGGTTGGGTTTTTTAAGTAACTGAAGAGGCAAAGTGCCAGCCTGGGAAAAACGCAGGCCTGTAACTGCATTGATTACAAACTTGGAGCCACCTGCAGAGATAGAGGAAAGAACTAACAAGAGTTCTGATTTTGGTCCACAGCTGAGCTCAGGACAGTTAGAAAGGTCGCAGTGGATGCAGACAGTTGTGCTTCCAGATCCTTTAGGCAACTGAGAACTGAAATAGTCCAGTGTAGGTAGGCTAATATACATCTCTGTAATATGTATCTTTATGATAGTATGATTTTAATATGTAGATAAGCTAGATTCTGCACTATAAATGATAACTACTTGTATGTATACCAGAGCTAGAATTTCCAGATTTCAGGCTAACTTTTCTTAGAATGGTAGTCTACCAAATTCTGTTGTCAGAAGTGCTGAACAGCTCTGTCACTCCCCAATTCCTAGAACTCTCTTCCTCTTTGCTAGCCATCTATGATATTCTCACATCCTTGTGAGGATACTGGCTCACAACAGTTTAGGAGCCCAGAATTGAGTACCAAGGTTTTAAGTTTGTTGTGGGCCTCAGAGCAGATCTGAGCCTGGGGTGTTCTCCTTTCCATGCATGTGACTTAGGATTGTCTGGTAAGGTGAAAATGGGTATGTTTGTCTGTCCTTGCAGGTGACAGAGCTGCGAGGACTGGCCACTATTCTGGTTGGTGTTGTGACATGCGATAGCATAAACTTCTTTACAACCAAGCCTCAGGCAATCATTGTGGATATAACTGAACTGGGCACCATCAAGCTACAGCTGGAGGTTCTCTGGAAGTAAGTACAGCTTCAAATGAAATCAGCTGGAACTAAACATTTGAAATAAATTAAAGGCTCCGAAGTATGTCACTGAGTAGTGTTCAACATCATAGTCCTCTTTCTGTTTGCAGAGCAGGTGCAGGATAGATAGCAGCCGCATGCTTCCTCACAGCAACCCCAGCTACTGTGCCTGATCTCTGACTCTGTGGGACCAGTCCTTCCGAAGGGGAGGGGGGAAGGGACAGAAGCTATTTCTATGACCCTTCAGTTCTCTGTGTTGATGTTACCAGAGCCGTGCCTAGCCACGTGAACTGACTAGTAGGCTTTTACTTAGCTTATTACTCTTCAGATTGAGAAAGATGATGAAATGAAACTGGAAATAGCAGCTTCTAGGCACAATGCAAAAAAAAAAAATATAGTTGAAATTTTAGGATGATCACTATTACCTGGACACAATTTGTTAAAATTAAGCTTTCCCAAAGATTTAGCATCTTCATATTTGCACTGTGATTACAGTTATAGAGATAAGGCCTCTTTGTGCACTACAGGGAAGCTTGGTTAGAGATGCACTTTTAAAATAGCTGAGTATTTTCATGATGCCTGTGATTTGTTAAATTGTTTTATAATTTAAATCTGTAAATTGATTTTTTGTAGTGGATTACTGATGTTATTAAAAGCAAACTCTTACTTTTGTGGATGCTGCGCTGGAACTTCTTCCTCACTCTAGTCAATACCACCATAGATTTTTTGAGGTAGTGCTGTTATTTCTGGTTTATGGGACTGTCAGTCCATACTGAGTCTTGTCTGCAACAAATCAGAACTTTTTAACCTGTTTCCTTTTACTGTTGCCCAGGGGTTAAATCTAGCCATCTTAGTGAAGTACCTGATTAAACAATGGACACTCATCACTTGTACTTCTATATATAGCTTACTGCAGTCCTCCATTCTTCCCAATGCAACATGGCAAAGAGGCATTTGAACACACCTCCATGATAAGGACTTTCTTCAAAGGCTACTTTGTGATGACTTGTAGATCTAGGCTCTCTCCAGGAAAAGCAGAAAATGATCAATGTTTAGATTAGGAAGGGCAGGGAGCTATGCCTTGCAGGCCAGACTCACCTATGACTCAGCCTTACACAGTTCTTCTTTGGCCATGCTGCTTTCTTGTTTTCTTAAAGATTATCCAAAAATAAAAAAGCTTGTATGTGCTGAATGTATGGTCTGCCAAATGTGCCCGAGAGCTAAACGGATCTTTCAGTAAGAGAAAAGTTTCCCTGCCCTTAGGGTAGAGTAACCAAGTGTATTATACAATCAGACTTGATTTATCAGGTTTTAATACCCTGTTTCTGCTTTTAATTACCTTTGGAAGCATCATTTGACTTAAATCTTGTCACGGTCTTTTAAGTCGCCAACAGGAAAAATATCACAAAGGCTTTCTGTTGCAATTCCTGTTCAAGTGTTGATAAACAGATTTCAGGCTGCATTTCTGGGGTTGGGGAGAGAGGAGCTTTATTAATGAATGTACTATTTTCTGAATGTCTTTTGTGTGTGCTGTGGTTCTTGGAATTTACTGTTGACTTGTACATGCAATTGGGCTGAAAAATGAGTCTTGGCAACAGCATCTAAAAATTATTTTCAAATGCACACCTTGCTCTAAGTCAATGAGAAATAAAGTCACACAGCAGAGTTTTGCCTGCACCTGTTGTTTATGACACTTTTTTTCCTCCTGAGATCTAACAATGGGCATTGATATATGTTTTGTTCTGGTGAGGTGCTGCAGCTGCTCTGAGACTTTTGAGGCCTCTGTTTCCTATCTGAGAAGCTGAACCACTAATTAGTTGGGTAACAAAGCCTCATTCCAGGAGCTTGCTGTGATCTTGCATTATATGCCCTACGAAGTATCCTCTTACTCATGCCGAGTTATGTATGTACTTCCATTTGAATCTGAAAGCAGAGACATTCATGGTAGACTTATTAAAAACTGTGCGGAGTAAGGATGGTGCAAGTAGAGTAATATATATATTTTTTTTTTTTTTAAAAGTAGCTCTTAAAATGACAGCCCTTTTAAATGAAGACCAGTTAAAATATTATGTTGTTTTGATATTTGCATGTCTTAGTATTGGGGAAGGAAGGATAGAAGAGTGGCATAGGAGGATATCTGGGCTCTCCTACATCCCCCAGCAAAATCTGATGCCGTTATTTGTCATCGCTCACCCTGCAACAAACACGCACCACCAAAGATTGCATTGGGTTTAATCTGGGTGTAAAATGATCAAAAGCTCTATACGCAGTTTCAGAGCAGAAAGGACTGCAGACAGAACCCTCTGCTTGCAGAGATGCTTTTCTTGTAAGGGAAGTCCCTTTTTCCCTGACTTCAAGCCTAACATCTTAAGAAGCTTCACTTGTGCAATGGAGGAGGCATATTTTCATCACTGAACTGGGTATAAAATCTGCTTTTGCCCTAATAGGGGAAGTGCTGTACTGAGACATGGCACATTCATAATGGAATGTGGAAGGAATCACTTCTACTCTCTTCTTGTTAACCACATAAATGGTATCTAACAGAGATTAACTTAATTTACTTTTGCTGGATCTACTTGCTTGCCTTTCCTTGCTCTCAATAACTTACATAAATAATTATGCACATAAGCTGTTCTTCCAAAAGGACTGCGTGAGGAAACCCCCTTCCTGTTCTGGAATATTGCATAGTTTCTCAGATAATAGCCTAAATCTCCAAAGCAAATTGTATTTGTGACTAAATTTTCTAGAAAAACACAAGTCAAATTATGTTGATGCTTGGTTGTTGCAGTAGCTCAGAGTGCAGCTTTTGATTGGCAAGATGAGCACTTCTATGGCATTTGGGACAACCGTCACCTGGCTTTTAGAGTTGGCAACAACTGAGCTGGGAGCAGGGTTAGTGGTGACGCATTTTCTTTGGGAGTTAATCCTCACTTGGAATTTTTCAGCATATGAGAAAACTCTGGCTGCAGGTCTCTGCTGTGTTTAAGCTTTGTGAAACGCATTGGTATCCTACCAAGTAGATTCCCCAGAGCGCGTCTGCACAGAACTGGCAGGCTCCTCCTCTTTGACAGCCTGTTTGCTGAAGTTGTTTACAGAGAAGAGTTGTGTGGTGATAACTTGGGTTGTTTCTATTTTCAAAGATAGAGCACTCAAAATAACAGCTGCTTTTTTCTTTGATTTAAGAATAACTATACAAATCCAGCTGATTTGTCCAAACTTCCCCGAGAGGCAAGCTTTTAGTCTAGACCTGCTTTGTGAGAAATCCAAATGTAGATTGCTCTTCCACTTCTAAATGTATATTTTTCTTTAAATAGACCCCTGGTCTTCTGGGCTCTAACAAAAGTTCCTTCAACTCCTTTATAGATTATGCCATGAGGAGCTCGGGCCTGTTGCAGAATGGCTTTCTTGGCCACTTTGGCAGAAGACTTTGGGTTTTTTGCCAACCTAAACAGCAGTCTGAATTCTGTCTCTCGCTTGAAGGACAAAGAGAAAGCCTGTATTCTCTTTTCGGAGCTTCAGTTAGCACCCTGTACTGGGATCTAAGGGTGCCAGCCAGCCAGAACCTCTCTTGTGATTTCTGCTCGCTTTGAGCATGTGCTGGTCTGGCTCATGAGGATTCATGGGGTAGGAGGAAAAAAAAACTTTATGAAAGAATAAAAAAGGAGAATTTTTTTTATAGGTACATACTGACAGTTTCACTCCTATAGATGAAAACTTGTGAACAGGTAGTTACTCATGCAGGTACCTTGAGGCAGTAGTCCACCGTTGCATCTCTGTGCTTTTGATGAAAGTGATGTTCCATAGCTTAGTCTTGTGATAAGCTGTGCTAACCTTGAAACTGGTGCTTATTATGCTTTAATGGGTAGGAGATACGTAACAACAATCACACTCTTAAAATTGCTTGGGCTTTTTCATCTGTGTTCAGTGGCGGGGCAAGGGGGGGGAGGAAAGAAATCTTACAATTAACAGCGGGTCCAATCCAATTGATCAGAATTGGCTTGTTTTGGTTTTAATGCAAGTCTGGATTCACAGGCTTAGTGGTGGGATTCAGAGAGGTCTATCCACCGAGAGCCCTTCTGGCCTAGTGGTATTTAATACATGGAGCGACGGGACAGAAGGGGAGGGATTAGGGCACATAGTCTTGGCAGTGGGAGAAAGGAATGCAGATCCTCTGGGGCTGAAGACTGAATTGAGTTCAGCTCTTACATGCTCTGCCTGATTACTTATGTTCTTCTGAGAACATAAACCAGGAATTGTCCCCCTTACACACCCAACAGAAAAACGCAGCAGGCTGAGGGAAAACAGTAGAAATCTCAAGTATTTCATCCCTCCACAGGTTTGGTGGTTATGACAAGATAATATCGCACTGGGAATCCATGCTTGGTGCTGGCAAGGCCGAGGTACCTCTGAACATGTGCAGATGCAAAGCTTCTGATGTCGTGGGAGGTTCAGTCTTAGGAAATGTGAGCTTTGATGAATTGTAAACCCCTTCAGGGTCAAGCTGGGTGTGTGAGTTTTGGACCTGAACGCTGAAGTCCTACAACAGTCAAGCTAAAGGAGTGTTATGTGCTGCGTTTACATTGGCCTTAACAACATTGGCATTGTAGTGTTGTTCATTTAATGCCAATAATATAATTAGTCATAACCAAAGGCCAGCATGTTTGGCAGTACAGAATGGGGACAACGAAGAGGATCAGACCTGTGGGGCCACTTTCATTTTTTTTAATAGAATTTTTCAGTCTTGAAAAGGTGGTGGTGGATAATACTGTTCAGGCATATAGATGTTTGCTGTGGGGAATGTGGAAAGGAAATGATTAACTACCATTTCTCTTAGTACAGCCACAGAGACACCACCCCCCCACACACCCCCTAATGTCAAAGTACTTGTTCCACAATTTAAATAATGAAATTTCTGAATACTTTTGACCTACACAGAGATTTTGTGTTGATGATTTCAGGAAGTGACCTGACAAACTAAGGAAAAGCATGTGACAGTCAAAGGCAATAGCCTGTTTGCAAAGTCTGGTGCATGACAGATCTAAGCTATGGATTGCCTCAAATTTGAGCATTGGTCTGGGGAAAGCCTACTATATTTGCCTTACTTCCTATGTTTTTTCCCCTGACTATCCCCTACTGGCTTCTGTCAGTGTCAAGATGCTGGGAGAGATGGAATCATAGATCTATCCCAGCATGATGTTTTGTTTGCTGTACAAAAGTGGAACAAGATGATGGATCATGCCCAAAGAGCTTACAACTAAGAAAGAGATAATAGATGCTTTAGAGCGGACTTCATTCTCTCCTTACCCTTTGCTTTGTTCTCTCAACTTGTTATCTTGCAGTAACAGGGAGCATCTGCTTGTTGGGAGGGCAGCTGAATAGCTGTGTTTTGCTAGAGGGTTTTAGTAATTGTCAAAGGGGCAAAACAGATTTAGCTTGTTACTCCTGTCCTTGTCCTCCAAAGTGTCACTTTGCATTACGGCATTGCTATATGAAAAGCTAAAAATGAAAAATCTAAGGAACGGATCCCTGTGACTCTTCTTAAGAAATGCTGTGGATGGGAGCAACTTGCTTCCATCAGTAAACATAGCAGGCTTTGGCTAAAAGGTTCTTCCTGTCAGAAATTCAATTTATTTTCTGCATAGTGAGACAATGCAGATGGTGGCTGATGTGACTCCATGGAACTGGCCTGTTTGATGAACTCCAGCTGGGTGACACTGGTGAATTTAGCCAATTAACCTGTATTAGGCGAGCTCACAGAGCGTTACCTCCATGCTGAGGAAGGCAGTGGTGTGTTGCACTGCAGGATGCTGTTGAGAATTGTCCTTGTGCAACGTGAGAAGTTAGAGAGAATTGGAGCTCTGCTTTTCAACTTCTGCTAGAGAGAAGTAGTTCATTTCCCTGTAATTGTGTAGTCCTTGTTATCGTTTGCATCTTCTCAGGCTTCTAGTGGTTCTATCTTGTACAGCTAAATGCAGCTGCCTTTATCCTTCTGTTTGCTCATTATATTCTTATCTATGAGATTACAGATTTATTGTCAACAGTTCACTCCTTCAAAATGCCAGTTCTGAGTGGAAAAAAGCCCAACTTTCTTTTGGTGCCACAAGGCATATCAGTAGGGAATAAAGTAACATGTAGAAAAAACAAACTTGTTTTACTTAGCTTTAAATATTTTTTCCCTCTCCTGATTAGCTGAGTTGCATTTCGGGAGACAGTCCATCCAAGTTTCCGTAGACTGCTATGCAAAGGAGTTGGGGAAATTAATGGCTGTGATGAAGGAAGTAATTGGGAAGTCTTTAGAGCAGGACTTGTCAAACTCTTGTAGACCATAGCCAGTATCCTCTGGGGCTATAACTGGGATTAACCATGACTGTATGAACTTGCCATATACCACAGCACAAGCTCCCTCTGCCAGCCAAAAGTGTTGTTTATTAATATTTGAAGGATAATTAATTTTTTTAGTGGCTTTTCCAAGTGGTATGTGCTCTGCAGGAGGGAAATTAATGACAGTTTTCCTTTATTACTTGTGTTACGTTTCCTTCCCATCTGGTATGGTGTATGCCTCGCTATCTGTCCGGTGGCTCTCAGCAAGCAGCCTTTCCTGTACTTGCCAGCACTGGTGTCTCTGTAGGACACTGCAGAAGGAAGGAGAGCATGTCAGGCTTTTGGCCTGTTGGACTCCTCTTCCAAAGACTGTGGCAAAGATCTCTGTCTAAATGGTGTTGAGAATTCTGTAAAATATGTGACCTTTTCGCCTATGTCTTTCTCTGCTCGTGCAATCAAAGATACTGGTTGGAGAGGCAGTCTCTCTTTCCTTTTATTCCCTGTGTTGTTTACGAAGTGTCACAGTTCAAATCCTAACAGCTGTTCCTGCTGCTAAATATTTCTGTGCTTTCTGGTCGTACTGACACTTAGGCCTTTGTGTCTTCTGCTACAGCCCCTTTGACACAGACAACCTGTTTTTGTCACCTGGAACCACTGCCAAGTTTTCTGTGGGTAGCAGGAAAAGCTCATTATACAACTGGACACCACCAAATACTCCCAGCTTCAGAGAGAAATACTACCTGGTGAGTATGCTGAGGAAAGCCAAATGCAAAGCATAGATATAGGACTTGATTTTTGGATTAAATTAGGCTATTAAAGAACACACTCAGAAATGTGAAAACATAGCATTCATTCCAAGGCCTTTACAGTTTATTTTGGGGCTTCATTATGTTTTTCTTTTAACCCCTATTGAGTTCCATTTTAGATTTTGTAAAAGAAGAAAAAAACCCCCTGCCAACTATTCCTCTTGGCAGCCAGAATGGTAGGGGTGTGGGCATCTGCTCTAATAGTCTATGGTGGGAATCAAACTAGGAACCAGTCTGTCTCGGTAGCCGTGGAGCAGAATGGCATTTTAGAGGTGCTATGTGAAACAAGCCTTCCTTTTCCTCAACCACACCTTTTGCCAAGTGTAGCCCAGGGGAATAGAAAACCCTGTCCTCTTTCTCATTCATTCAGGAGGGATTTGCTTTAATGGTTGTTTTATATGATCCTGTTAATTCTGCTGTACAACTCAAATATTAATAACATCATATACATGTTCCCCTTAACGTCAAGTCTAAGTCAGGTTTGGCGTTGCCTCACCAAGGCAGTAGAACAGGCAGCCTTCTTCAGAAAGGTTTATTATTTGTACAGTGTATGCTGGACTCTTCAAAATTAACATTTCTTCTAACCACATCCTGTCCTGAGCTGATGTGACATGAAAGCTGCTTGGCAAGGTTCTTTTTTTCCAGAAACAACTTTTTAGCTGTCTTGGTAACTTTCATCTGAAGGATCTAAAGCACAGTTACTATTGCTCCACTCAGTTCATCCAGTACGCTCTTAGTACTTTGTTTCAATAGTTTCTTTTGTCCAGTCTATGCTGGCCTGGCTCCCTTGTGCAGAAGAGCCCTGTGGTTTTGGTCTGTGTTTCCAAGCACAGGAAACCATAGTTCTCTATCTTAGCCGGTATCTCATGCTTGTTCAGTTGTATATGTGCTCACTTACAAAGCTGTTTGCTGCAGTCTGTTTTGCAGCAAAGGCAGAACCAAGGGGATGTCAGTGATGAAGCTCAACCTCCCAGCATATTGAGCTACTTGGCTACCTGTGATTTTGATGCACATGGGAGGAGCAAGCCTCACAATCCTGCGGAGACAAGCGAGGCAGACTCGCTCAGCTCTGAGGATCAGAAAGGGGCAGAATCCAGAAATACAACGCCAGCTCTAGACCACAGGACATTGCCATTAGTGATTATTCAAGAGACTTGCGCAGAAGAGCGACAGCATCCTCTTCCAAGTCACACAACTCTAGATATCCTGAAGAAGACTCCGTGTGTGGATGGATTTCCAAATAACCCATCTAGTTTTCTGAATCTTCGCAAAGGTAGTAGAGATTCTTTCAACCAGACCAGAAATCGCCGTCTGACAGAGCAAGAAGACATTAGCCAGAAAAGCTTGAATACTGCAAATGACCTAAAACTAGATGGCCGTACAAAGTCAATTGATAATACTCTCCAAGAAGTGTTAAATCTGCTGAAATTACATGATGTGGGGCAAGCCCAGCTGGAGAAATTGGAATACCAGGTTTCATCTCTGAGGAATAAATTAAAGGTATGGTAGTGTTTTACTCTTGGTAGATGGTGTAGCTTCCACTGCTTCTCCTAAAACTGTAGAGGTTCCATGATCCTGTGGTGGATTTGATTTAATGAAGTATCAATGGCGTATTCCCAAAAAGTAAGTTTGGCCACCAGAGGTCAGGCGTTACTCAGAAAAGGCAGACTTGAGAGCTGACTACACAGGAGCACTATGTTGTACAGCATCTCTCAGAGATGGCCTTCAAATGCTGTGCGCAGACCAATAATCTGGAAAAAGAAATTAGAGAAACTGTGTGCAGTCACAGTGGAAACTAGTCTGGGCTAAGCAGAATCTGAACTGTACATCAGAGCCTCTGCAGTTTGGTTTGCTTTTTTTTTTTTTTTTTTTTTTGACACTTTTCAGACTTAGTATACCTTGAGATGACTGCATCAGTTCATCAAACCTGATGTTTCTCCAGCATCACCTAGCTTCTGCAGACAGTTCAGTCTGTCTTAGCAAAACTGCACTGACTTCCAGTGCAACCAATTTAAAAATAGAAATTAAAAAAACCAAGTGCTCTCAAAGCAGCCTTTCCAAGGGGGAGAAAGTTATTGGCCCCATGAAATCCACTACTGATATCAAAGTTCTTGGATGCTATGCTAGAATGCAAGACCCCTAAGATTGCTACTTCTGTGTCTGAAGTGGGGAATAAGTGAAAATTGCACTAATGGCACAAGATGCAGAGAAAATCAGCTCTCATACTGACCTTTACAGGCATAGAGATCGAAAGAAGAATACAGCCAGATTAAAATATTGAAGCATACTTTGAATTTAATTAGCAACATTATTTGGGGATCAGAGTGCTGTACCCAGAGCTAACTTGCCTGATGTGTTAAGAATGAAATCAGAAAAGCAAAATGGTTTGTTATTGAGTGATTTGAAAAACAGCAAAGAACTCATGCAAAATGGCTTGATAACTACCACTAACAATGTTTTTCCTTCCATTCCATCAACAGCTAAAGACACTTCATCACAAACATTCATCTATGGAAAGTTTAATGGTGGAGACAGTACTGGAAAGTTTTGACTTTTTAAATGCTGACTGTAGTGCTGATGAGCTTTCGTTATTTGGAAGCATAAGAACAGCCAGTGTCAGGTATGTGTCTGCAGCACTTCATTATAGGTGACAAGGGAAGGGGGTAAGGAGGGTTGATCCCAGGAACGCTTACCGGTACTCTGTGCTTGGCTAAGTAACCACTGCGCAGAGCTGCTACGGGTATGGACATCCAGGATAGAAACCTTTTTTTTTTTTTTTTTTTTTTTTTTTTAATACTCAGAGATTCATGATTCTGAATACCTACCAGATTGATGTGACAGGAAACTTAAACTGAACTTACAGAAAACATTGCAGAACGATACCTGCAGAATACGTTGGAAGGCCTAGCGTGTAGGACTGCTAGAAACAGACTGCAGGAAACAGGCTTAGCAGGATGATGCTGAACTAGTGAGGGAGACAGCTATGAGAAACTTAGAGCTCATCTACCTGTTCTTTATTTTGAATTCAGTTTTGCAAGTTGCATAGCACCAAAACTTACATTCCAGAGCTATGAGCCTGATCCTGGGAGACTTACTACGTTCCCAGTGTCATCAAGCTGGGAGAACACAAAGGGATTTGTCTGTTATATGTGCTGCTTTTGCAGTTCACCTGCTGCAAATGAGCCAGCAACTCAATTCACGTTATCTGGAAGCATCTTTACTAGTATCAATTCTGAATGGGATTTTGTGGGATCAGCTGATCTGGTATTGCTGTCCTGGAATGAGTTTTAGAATGATGTCTTTATGTTTTTAAGAAGTGTTATAAATGCAATAACAAGTGCTGTTACCTGTTAAATGCTACCTGGTTTGTACTTCTGCAGCTTGCTTGAAGGCTACTGTTGAGATTGCACATCTTCATATTTATTTGCTGATGAGAGTTTTAACTCTTCAGTGTTTTTTCCCCTCATCTCAACAGCACATACAATGAAAACACGCTTCAATCCCTCAGCTGTGACCTGAGAACAGAAACAAGAGATGTAACTACCGGTGATGACAACTTAGACACGCTTTTGGTAACTCATCTGAAGCTGTGCAAAGGTCTTTTGCAGGTAAGGAATAGCCTATGGGTTTCCAGGGCACGGATTGTAATTGTTGATTCCAATTACGGACAAAAGTGAATATGTAGCTGGTTCTCTTATAAAAGCAGAAAGACTCAGAATAGAAATTGAGTCCAAAAAATGCAGTGTATACATGTGTATACACAAAACTTCATACAAAACCTTGCTGATTTTCCTTCCCCCCCTCCCCGCCCCCCCAGCCTCTGGGTTTTGCTGAAGCTTTAAGTAACACCTTTGTGCCCAAAGCAGGCTGCTAATGCAGTAGGACAGATTTGGGTTGAATTGTGTATCGATAACAGCTGATTGATATTTTTTTTTTTATGACTGTGAAACTGCTACTACTGGAAAGAAACTGCTAGCGTGTAGAGCAAGAAATAACTCTGCTCCCCTTGAGACCTCATTCCTCAATTAATTTTGGTTATAGAGCTCAAGCATACTACCATTCTCAAAGTACTACCTCTGATGAGGATGGACAGCAGAGGACAGTGTAGCTGTTAGTATTGATCTGCTACACAGTTGTCAATGGACAGGGGCAGAGAAGAATGTCAACTGCCAGACAGATTGTTCCAGCGTAATGTGATTTACTCGTCCTGCTTTGTTGAGCAGCCTTGTGCTCAGAAGTGACCTGTCCATGCTGTGATGGAAAAAGAGGCCTTCTGAGAGCAGCTGGTGTTTTCTCATAGACTTTAGAAGTTTGATTCTGAGAAACAAATCCTCATTCATCTTGAGCTTGATACTGCCTTTGTTTCAAGCTACTAAGATAACCATGTTGCATTTCAGAAACTGAGGTCACCAAATGTAGCCCAGGTTGTCCAGGAGAGCCTTTTGGAAGAAGTATCAGAGCAGACACAAGTTCTGGGGGATGTCTTGGATATGTCTGTCGAAGAAAGTGAGTAATTGCATTATTCCAAGGCATGCCAGGGATGTGAGGGGTACAGGTAGTTTTGTTTGAGCTTCCCCAGACACATCAGGGTTTCATTCTAAATTCCTTAACAAACATTTACATAATTAAAACGTCTCTGATGTCTAGATTCTTAGAAAAAACAGGGCTCATCATTCGTTTGGTTTTTTTTCCCCTGCAAGGAAGGGAAAAATTTGAAGAAGTTTGGCTTAAAGTAATAGTAGCTGAACTGGTATGTCTTAGAAACGGGGAAGCTATTGATGATGGAGTTTGCAGTCAAAGAACAGCAGAATAGCCTTAATAAAATCCTATTTTATATCTATGCTTTTACTTAGTAAGCAAAGAGCCCAACTTCTGTAAACATATGCAAGAAAAGTTCGGGCTTTCCCCCTATTAAATTCTTCCACTGAGTGTTGGATGTGACAAAATGATAAAGGTACAATGGGAGACTTTGAAGGCTTTTGTTCTCATCTTGGTAAACATACCAAGCTGTCAGACATGTGCTGACAGATTTTATCCTGAAGGATGTGAGAATAAACTGTTCCCCAGAGCAAGGCTTCAAAGGGCCTTTGCCACCTCGTGATGGGGAAAGTCTAGGAGTCTCAAATGCAGGACACAAGTTCAACATCTCTGTGGTTAAGAGTGAGGAATGATAGGGTTTAAATGATAGCGAGAAACCACAGGGTATTGCTTCAAGTGCTCTTCTGAAGTCTTTGATGAAGGAAAGGTTCAGAGGTTCAGAGTTCTCCACTTGTGAAGGTACATGTGAGAGGATCTCTAAAATGCTTGGAAACAGCACATCTCCTGCTGGTAGAAGGGGAAACAGTTATACTCATAGAAAGTTCTTCTGAAACTTGACTCGGATGCTGGGACAAAATGAATAACGAGGCAGGAAAGCTGCTAGGCATCTCATTCAGGTCTCAGAATGACAGTTTAGGAGCTCAGTCCAAACTTGGTGAAATCAATGCTTGCAGATGTTAGAATACTGGCAGCCAATCTCCAGCTTTGAACAAAGCCATCTATATAATACAGATACAAGTTATGCTGACAAGTCTCTAGATATGCCATCTGGTGCCTAATTTCTCATGCAAAATCCAAACTCTGCTAGAACTCACTAACTTTGTAAAGTGTGGTTTGTGTGTTTTGTTTGTTTTTTTGTTTTTTTTTTTTTTTTTTTACCCCCAGTTATTCAAAAGATCAAAAAGAAGAAGCACTATCTGAAAACTTGGAGTGATCTCACAGAGCCTGGTAGCATCTTCTTTGTTCCAGCAGAAAGATTCCGTCATGCGCTCAAATACACATTGACGCTCAAAGTGAAGGAAAAATACCCTGGTCAATTAGAAGCAGGTACCAGTCCGTTTCTTGAACACAAGGCTGCTCTGGTTTCGTTTTATTGCATGGCTAAAAATTGTCCTTGTGCATTTTAAAAATAAACTTTTTAAGGAGCTTCCATCTAACCAACCTTTCATTTTTTCATTTGTTCTTTTCCGTGTTACTCTCAGTACTGCAGAGGTTGCTAGAGCAGATCATCACCTGTGACGGGTTGCTCCCCCCTCTGTGCCTCCAAACAGAACCAGTTACTTTATTCCAATTTTATAGATACCTGGAGAAACACCACATTACCAGCCTGGAGAAACACTTGGGAAAACTCGCTAAAGAAGGTATTGGCAGCACTTGGCTCCTTTGCTTGAGCTCACAAGCCCTGGCTGTTGCTCTCCAGGTTACCACTCGACATCTACTTTCAGAGCAGAAAACAGCCCAACCATTGCATTGACAATTTCTTTCCATTTTAATTCCCCTTACGACCATGTAATTTTAATTAGAACAGGAAAGACATGCTTGACTCCCATACCTAACCAGGTAGAACCAACACAGAGGTGTGAAGGATGGGTTTGTCTTTAGTAAGTGCCCTAAAAAGTGGGTTCTGAGATATTCTGAAGTTAAAGCAGAAACAAAGCTGGCAGCAATCTACGGCTGGATTCGAGGACTGAGTAAATGTCTGTGTCTTTGTGTGACTCTAGCAGCTGTAATCAGACACAGTAACAATAAAATTTCAGAGGTTACTAACGTGCATTTTCTAGCACGAGGTAGCCAATGTCTTGCTGAAGCCTAGCCCAACATATGAAAGTACTTTAAAACTTAGTCTGTATCAGAAAAGAATTATTTTAAAAATAGTTCTGATGCTGGCTGCATCTTTAGGCTTGTTTTGATGCAGATGACTCGGCTGGTGGGGGACTAAGAACTTGTGCATTGCTAGTCAGTGAGAAGGACCTGGAATATGCTTCAAATTTAAACTGTCAATCCAGTGCCTCATTTCTTACTTTTTAAAAACCAGAGTGCTTTCTCTTTGACCAGGACAGCAAGATCTTTCAGAGATGTTTAAAAGTATTTTGCTGGATTGTGTGTTCCTTATTGTAGGACTGGACCGCCTGTCCTCACATCCAAAGGTGTAGGAGCTCTTTGGCACTGTATGTTGTACTCAATGCACCCGGGTCCTAAAAGGACCAGGGCTGTGCTGCACCTCATGAACTAATATTGTGAAATAATAATTTCTGCTCCATTTGTCAGATGGTCTTGGTACAGGAGGAAATGAAACAATGACAGGGAAAGAAGACAGGATGGTCAGAGGGGCAGTCATCCCAATTTGCTTCCTGCCATGCTTGGCTTGCTTATTAGCCACGTGAATAACTACTTGTGGCTAAAGGAGGCTGAATTAGAGTGGAGGATTTTTCTCTTGATAATGTCTTCATTTGTCAGTTAGTGAAGCTGAGTCCTTTCACTTGCAGTAATGCTAATCGAGGAGCTACAATGCCCTGGACGGCTGAAGACTCTTAAAAAATTGAAAGGAAAGCGACTGAACAAACTCCAACCTCTACCGCAGACTTTACGGCTACTTGGGATTTTACAGCTGGATGACAACCACCGCGTCAGCAAAGCAGCCACATCCTGCCTCGCCCGCGCCGCAGCAAACAAGAACTTTAGGGAAAAGGTAGAGAGTGCAGCTTTTACTGGCTTCTTCTAAATAGATGCTGAAATACATGGGACTTGGTTTATCCTAGAACAGCACTGTTGTCCGCTCCTCGCTTCGTTTATCTGTTAACTAGAACCTGAATTACGGCAGGGCTCCGGTGATTTGTCTATATCCTTTATTCCGTTTCAGCTAGGTAAGACAGTGCTGCTGTCAGCCTGAATTTGCCTGCTTGATTACACTTAAGTTTATAAAGCCTTTTCTTTTTTTCTTTTTCTCTTTTTTTTCATTCAGGCGCTCTTTTTTTTCACTGATGTTTTAGCTGACTGTGACGCAAGACTTCAGCAAGCTGCATGTTTGGCTCTTAAAAACCTCCGAGTACGTATTTACAGCTCTACTTCTGCTGTGCATCTCTGGCCAAAACTGCTAGATGCAGAAGTGCATCTGGCTTTTTGTGAGCTGGTAGGGTTATTTTTTCAGCTTTCTTTTCTTTGGAATTAATGAATTCTTTGGCTGCCAAAGTTCCAAACTATTAAAGCTGTTATTCACAAGGCAGCAGGCAGAGGGAGCTGCAGGCATCTTGGAGTGTCTCGATTTGATCTGATGGGCACAGCACAACGGCAGAAAGGATGTTTTCTGACTTCTACAACATTGTCAGTGGTGAAGGACAAGTGCCACTGAGGGACATCTAGCACACAGAAAAATAAGCAGCAGTCAGCTGTGTATGGAATCAGTCCTAAAGCTTTAACTATAGAAATTTAAAGTTAAAACAGTTCATCTTTTTTTTTTTTTTTTAACAATAGCTGATTTGTAGTCAGAAAACAAAAGTAATATTTGCATTGCTGTTATAAGGAACTGTCAGAACAGATTTAAAGCTTTCCAACGGCCGCAAGTCTGTATTAGGTGAGTTTGTTTGCACACAAGGGATTATTGTGAGTACAGTTCCTACAAGCAGGCAGTCACAAGGTAGCCCCAACAAATCGGAGTCTTAAAGTCAGATTTGCAGAGCTGCTGTTGCCCTTGCACAACCTGCGGTGGCTCTTTCAGCAAAGGCCCTGGTCAGTTTATGCTAGTCTAATGGTACCGCAGCCGTGACGTGTACCCTTGAACTGTTATACTTTTTCATGTCCTAAACCAGGAGAGAAAGCAGCAGAGGTGAGATCATGCTCCAAACAATTAACTGCAAGCTGCTATGTTGGGGGAGAAAAGAAAGGTCACGGTAGCATTTAGCTGCAAGAAGGGATGGGCGTTAGTACGCATGTGTTTACCTTGCAAAAACTGTTACCGAAATGCTTGCTGAAAAGCTGCTCTTGCAAATTTTTCTGTTCTCAAACAGGGTGTTGAGAGTATTGAGCAGGTTGCCCACCTGTGCCAGTCTGAAACAGAGGAAGTTAGGAATGCAGCCAGGGAAACGACGCTATCCTTTGGTAAGTCAGTCCTTCGCACGACTTTATAATACGGATTCTAAAAAAGTGATGTGAAATAGTGCAGAACCAGAACAGGCCTGAAGTTCAGCCTGAACACATGTAGGACAATGGAAATATTTCATGAACAGCGATTTCATACCATTAAGATAAACTTTATACCACATATAGTGACCAAAGGCCCCCATTAAAGTTTTCAGAACAAGACCAAAGAGGTCACTGTAGGATAAAGCACTTTAAGAACCACTAAACTTTTTAAAAAGGTGGCGGCTAAGTACTGATGGTGCTGACGGAGCACTTCCCAACAGTAGTACTGGCATCAGCAATTTTCTCCTCCTAGATTTTGTAAAAAGGCCATTTGGATCTGGCAGATCACAATAAAGCCCCTTCTAGTTCTGGGATTAGCTAAGCTGATTTAAAGATATTTCATATGTATCAGAACAACAGCAGACTCTTTGGGCCTGGTAACCTTTTCTAGCCACCTAGAACTGACTGTTACTCCTAGTTTTGATGTTCCTATTGTTCTTCAAATGGCTCCACTCTGAGTACTGGAGGGGTAAAGAGTACAAACTGAGTGGGTTTATAGGGGCTCATTACCTGTTACTGCACCTGAATTCCATAGATTTACAGTGGAGCTGAGCTGCTAGTGAGATGTTAGTGTTCCCGATTTTGCTGCTCTCTGGTATTTGTAGTTCTCCTGAGGGCAAAGGAGAATTGCCCAGGCTGAATACCTTAAATGCAGAGCTGCTGGAGAGGGTGTCCAGTTTATCTAGGAGGCAGTAATTTCCCCGTTCTGTTCTTGCTAAAACCACTTTGATTCATGCTTAGTTCTGGGGATCTCCAGACTTGCTTCACGGAAACACTCGGATTCATGTGTATTACAAAACAAGTTTTCCAACTGTGATGCTCCAAATTGTTACTCATGTGGAAATGTTTAGTAAAGCCTGATTTTTCCCTGGTGGCTTCCAGCAGTTTTTGGAAAACTACTCCCTTAAGAGATGTGTTTGTCAGCGTTGGGAGTTCTTGTTCGTGCCAACCAAGGTCACAACAGTAGTTCTGGTGTCGCGTTTCTCAGGGTGTTTCTAACTGCTTTCTCTTCCTCAGCATGGGCTGTATTTTCTCTTTCTCCATAGGTGAAAAGGGACGGCAAGCCTTTGAGAAAATGGACAGGATTTGCTGTGAATTAAGAGAAACTGTACAACAAGAGGCTGAAATTGAAATCACAGTATTTTAGCAGTGGAATATGAGGAGCTGAAGCAAATCGTCCTCACAGCCACCTATGGGTACCTGAGGATTGGGTTTTGTTGTTTATCAGTCTTGTTTACTGACGCCCTGCCGTGCCCTTGCTGCACACTGGCAGAGTAGAGGGCTGTTTCCAAAATGGGGAGCTTGCAGTCGACGCCACGTAGACTGGAACATGTCTTCTGTCTCAGCACATGATGAAATACCAAGTGCTGGACAAATAAAACCCAGGATCTCTTAGAGTATGGAACCAGGCTGTCACTTGAGTTAAAATCCCCATCTCCCTGGAATTAGCTGCCCCTGCTCAAACTGTACGCCAAATGGGATCTATTTTCCCGTAACGTATTTGATGAATTTGGCATTTCACAGAGAGGAGAGAAATGCTTGCTTTCCCACAGTCCATCTAGACATTCATGGGCAGCAGCTGCCCTGTGCGTTAGAAAAACCCAGCAGAGGTGCCTGCTGGTCTCCTTTTCCTGTACAGTTCAGTTGTGGAAGGAAAGGCTGTTACTTCAGAAGCCCATTTCTTCATAACCATTGCAACCTGGGACAGGGTCAAGCAAGGGCTGACAGGGATAGGTACGGAGTGTAGGCCCTCGGCAGTTTACAACAGGAAGGTAGGTATTGTACTGGCCCTGTGCAGGTCTGATGGACATATGGACAGCTCTGCTGAAGTTGGTTTGTGTGGTTGGTTATGTTTTATTTTTTAAATTTATTTGTTTAGTCATAGACCAAGACTTTGCATAATCGCACACCCATTGTCAGGCTCCTTACTCAACACTTAGCTAACTGACTGAGCAGAGGGTAGTAGTAAAGAGAAGCCTGGCTTCAGGTAAAATACTTGAAAGGGTTTGGTGCGTGTGTGTGTGTATATATAATTTTTTTTATAGAAATGTAACTTTTCTATTCAGTATTTATTTGTTGGATTTCATACTGTTTTCTAAAATTCTAATAAAACACGTGAGAGAAGTCCCTGCATGTGCTTCAGACTGCTGTGCTTGTAGCGGTGCGGGCAGGTGTAAGGGAACTCGGATGCTGACCTGACAGGCACTGGGTCATGCACCCACCCCTCTATTCCAGCTGTGAGCAGTTCAGGCTGGGCTGGCAGAGGCAGGCTGCTGGCATTCTGTGCTGCCTGCTTGTACAGCTGAAGTCATTAGCACTGACGAGCAGGCCCAGGGTGTGCTGGTCTATAGCAAAGTAGAACTTAATGGGCTGCATTTCTGTACTGTAACTCTGCTTTTAACCTATGGATTTCTTTAAAAGCAGGGGGAAGATGTTCTACTTCGGTAAATTCCCTGGGCCCCTCTCCCCTACTCTTCTCCTTCGCTAGGAGGGGGAAGGGCAATAGCTGGTGACTTGGACAAGGCAGGGCAGCCCAGCCAACCTTTTGCCTGAGCCTGGCTTTAAGCTCTGTCAGAAGGTGCTGACTGCTTCTGCAGGGCAGAGCACAAAAACTCACCACAGCTGTGCTAACACCACTGTATGAAGCTACTGAAAATTCTCTCTTCAAGTGCCTCTCCTCCAGTTGTAGCTTTCCTTAAAAATAAAAACAAAAAAGTAAATCCTTTAATCCAGACAACACGGAAGCGTGATGGCTGCAGCTGCTGTGACTTGAACAGGGACACTACTGTCACACAGCTTCATGTTAAGGTACAACTGAAACTCTTGCAAAAACCAGAGTTTCTACACTTCTTGTATCACACTGATTCCTAGGCCAAGATAGTTGAAATTCAACTGTTTAAAAGCCTAGAGAAGGGAGATGGAGGCACAGGATACTCCCTTCGCTTGAGCTGACCTACAAGCCCGTTCTTAGAGTGACATTTAAAGCATTTTCCTCTAGGAGAAGCCCCGCCACCTATCATGCTGGCCCCAATTTGCAAGTGACTCAAAACAGGAGCCAGTGGCTCAGCCCTGGGGAAAACAGGAAGCAATAAGACTCTCATGTACATTCTTTAAAAAAAGAATTTTATTGTTCCAACTAAAATGAGAACTGAAAACTTGTATGGGAAATTGAAAAACTGTACAATTTTACTATAACCTGTGAGGTCTTTGCAGCGGCTTACACAAAAGACAAGATACCTGAAAATGTATTATACCAAAACATTGAGCTTTTTTGTTGTTTTTTTTCTTTTATTTTTTTAAAAAAGTTTATTCTATGGCAATCTGTAAAAAAGAAAGACCTGATGAGTAAATATTTGCTTAAGGCATATAGCAGAGCAGCTCACTAACTTTCTAACAAGTTTAACATGGATATTTGTCCATTTTCCAATAATAGGTTAACCAATACACCCACTGTGAAACGCTACTGTATATACACACCCAAACTACTACATACATATACAGGACATCAAAACAAAAATGTTTACAGTTCAGTATCAGGAGCCTTATACACACCTCGCTGGGCTGGCAGGGCAGTCAGCTGTCCGTCCCGGGACAGTGGAGGTTCTGGATTTAGAACAGATGAAAGAAATGGCAAAGGGGCAGGAAAGGGGGGTGCTCAAAATTTTATCATCTGCAGAAGCTTTCTCTTGTTAGAATAATCCACAAGTGAATTACTCTGGATTCAAAGGAAGGATGCTTTTTGCTTTCCTGTCAAGCCTCGAATTTAAAATATCCCCTCTTGGGAACAGCACAGAGGTGGTTTTTGTTTCTTTGATGTTACGTGGGCCTGGGTTTCTGCAGATCAAAGCGTGCTCCCACCACCTCGCGGAAGAGGCTTGCCTCTTGCTCCGCCAGCGCAGCCCTGGAGGCAGCACAGCACATCACACCCCGAAATCACCCGGCTATTGCTTGCCTCAAGAGACCAGAGGCGAGGTGTGAATAGGGCTTACTAAACTCTCTGGAATGTCTGTACTACACTTACTCAGCTGAAATGAACCATGCTAAACAACCGGGTTACACCGAGTACGCAGCAATTCAATAGGAAGTCATGCCAGGTATTAGGCGAGTACATGTTATCTGATAAACACCAAACCGGTCTATCGCTGAACGAAGATACTTCCAGCAACACCCTTTGAACCACAGCCACTTAATGATCAGTTCATGCAAATACAATTTGGGCACATCAGTAAGCAGAAATATAAGTTCTTTCACCTTTCAAGCACATGGTATTTCATCAGGACACTAGAAGACTTTACATGCATTTTAATACAAAGGGGGTAGAGATGTTGCCTTGGAACAATATTCTACCAGATGATGGCGAGAATAGTGGGGACAAAGCAATCACATACTGTATCTTAAATACACAGATGAGCCATTATATATTACCATTTTTCTATACTCATTTTTCACGTTTCCAATAATATAACTAAATATTGACTGATTACAACATTCCTCCTTTCAAGTACTGGTCTGACCAACAGTCTCACAGGTAAAGTATTGACTCCCAGTACTACCTGAGGATTTATTATTGTACTTTTGAGAAGCCCTTGATGCAAGCTTAACAGAACACAAAATAGAAGTAGCCCCCCCCCTCCCCCCCCCTTCACCAACTTATTCACCAAAGGAAGAGCGCTGCACCTACAGACAGCTTTGCAAAAATAAATATGGAGTGGAGGGAGGCTTACGGAAGATACTCCATAGTGATGTCTGCACTGAGCATGGTGGTTAAGTGCTATAACTCTAGAAAGCTTTTAAAAATAAAAAGAACTGAGTAGTAACACTGTTGCAGATCAGCTGTCACGGTTGAGTTTCGATCACTACCACTTTCAGTAGTGAGTTTACTCCTGTCCTCCACCCCATGACACGAGCAAAGCCACCTTTGCTATTGGTGTTTAAACAATTAATAATTTGGTACTAACAGGAGGAACAGCATTGCCCACGCCTGGTCAGTGCAATGCCGACTTCCAGTCACAGTTCTACCAATGCACCCAAATCCTTATTTACAAGCACTTGACGTCACTCGAGTCCCGAGCCCGCGGCACCGGCCCCCCAGCGAAGCAGAACAGCGCAGGCGCAGCCGGGCAGAGGACAAACCCGCCCGTCGCCCAGCTCGCCCATGGAGAGCAACAGCCCCGGCCGCAGAGGCGCAGGCTCGCCCTCCCACACCGCCGTCTCCGGTAATTACTGAAGAGCGTATCTTCAAGCCAAACCGAAGCCAGTAATTTAAATCTTCTCTTTAAAAAAAGCAGAACACACAAACGCTTGCATCATAAGCCAACTGATACGTTCACAGACCAATATGTCTTCTGCTGAACTTTTTATGTCTTAAGGAAGCTGCCACAGCATTAATTGCTCTGGATTCATTGAAATGCTTTCCTGTTCGCTGCCTGCAATGCCTCCGAGCACGTTACCTCTCTGGCCCTCGCAGGGAGCATGCTGTTCTGTACGGAGCAGACGTAGAGCGAAACTGCATTTTACATTCCAAATGATGAGGTTTAAGAACTGGTCCTTCTGAATGCCAACTGCAGAATGCTGGTGGACATGTTTTGGTTGAATTTCCCTTCCTGTTTCTTCTCTCCCTCCCCTCAACCTCTCCTAGCCCAGAATATAAAAGTAAAAACAGCTTTACAAAGGATGGTGCAATGTAAATGGGCATATGTGCAAGTAGAGTGCAACAAAAGTCAATGAGGAGATATGCTTATTAAAAAAAAGAAAAAAAAAGAAAAAAAGAAAGAGCTTGACATGTTGGGATACCCTGAGCAACTGCAGAAGCCTGTTTCTATAAACACATGTAAAACAAGAAGCTCTTTAAGAACAGTTATGCCAAGATTAAATATATCAATACCACAGGCACTGCCCACAACTCAGTCTTTTAATGATGAAGCAAGTTAAAAAAAAAAAACAAAAAAAAAAAAACAAAAAACCCCCAAAAAACCCCAAAACAAAATAAACCACAAACACCCCTCCCCCAACGCCCTCCCTTCCACAAAGTTTACATTCGTCAGGTATGTGGGTTTCTTTCTCTTTTTTTGGGAACTCATCAGTATAAGCCATGTATTTGGTTACAACACTTGGAGAGTACAAGCAAGTTTCACTTGTGCCTAGTTTTTCTGAAACACAAAAGAAAAAGAACTGGCTTTTTTTAAAAAGGCTAAAAACAACAATGTGTTGTAATTCTATTATTTAGTTTTTTAAAAAAAAGAAAAAAAGGAAAACAGACTATTTGGCATTATATCTGCTTACTCCTGAATATTTTAAGGCCCTGAGATTAGAATATTATGTTCTTGGGACCACAGGGCTAGATAAAACCCTAGTGCATCAATTCTCTCTTTAAGCCTTAACCAAAGTTCCGGCCTTTCAACCTAAGATCTACCTCCACTGAGACAAGGCTCACATGCCTCAATTAGCTTGCTTTCAGAAAAGCTTATTACAAACCCATCACGAATCGTTGGTGTTTTCTGCAGGGTCGATCTTGCTGGCATGTCCGTCAATGAAAACACACCCTGTAAACGAGATAAGCTCCTGCCGTGAGGAAAGTGAAGATGCATATATTCACTAGAAATGGCTTCCAAGTTGTCATCATGTTCTCATCATCCTCTTCTGAGCTTTCTGACTTCACCGAGTCTTCTTTGTGGGGTGAGAGACGCGGATTTTCACCAACAGTTCTCCTCCGAATTTCAGTGTCTTGACTAGTGCTTAAGGACAAAGACATAAATACTCAGTACTGGATTGTCCATTTGTGAGAGAAGCTAGGCAGATTCTACAAGAGCATGGTCTCACCCGCTGAACACCACAAAGCTGGAAATCTCTCGCTATCAGGAGCTGCAGCAGATGCTGCAAACCAAAGCCTATCGCTAATTATTACAGCTCTGGCTATTAAATTACAGGCTTAGAACAGCACTTGTCATCAAAAGCCGTGCTTGGTAGTATTTTGTGCCCTGTAAAGAATAAGCTGACTTAGTCTTAAAACACCATCTACTGCCACTGCTTATCACAAATCTGCCACCTGCACTGAGACAAGCAGTGAACTAGCACAAATCAAACCTACGTCCAGGTCAGGAGAACGTTAAGGTTCTAAAATCAAGCACCTGCCCAAAAAGTCAGAAAATGGTGGAACTGTGGTAGCTCGTGCAGCCATAACTTAGGACGAGTGGCTAAATGCATTGCGATAGCTTTTAATGACAGAACTGAAGATGTCTTCACCTTTAATACTCTCTCAACACGGCTTTGTTTCTAGATACCAGGCCTCCATCCTGTTGGCAGTGTATTGACACCCAAAGGGGCTTCTTAACTGAGCAGGAACTGTCCCACCTACTGTACAACTCCTTCCAGCTGAATTTAGAAAGCAGAGCACCATCATGCTGTGAGAACCAGTGGGGTGGTAACCAGCGGGGAGATGGTTTGCAGGGGGCTTCCCTAGACATCTGCTGACAGCTTAAGCATCAAAGAGCTCAGGAATCTTCCACCCCAGATACTAGAGTATCCAGGCAGGGAAAGAAACGCGCTTCATACTTCTGCCGCTTCTTCCCTCACCTCTGCCAGCACAACGTCTTTCTCCCACCCTGCTGTTTCCTCCAGCCTTGCACTGTCCCACATCCTTTCCCATTGGACTGCTCCCTCCCTCTCCAGGACTCGCTGTCCCAGACATGAGAACAAGAGTGATGCTCACAAAGGAGGCCTGATCCTACAGCAGCAGTACTGATATGGAATGAGGGAGCTCAGGATTCAAATCCTGGCCTTTCCTAGTATGCCTGAAACGTCGCATAACGTAGGATTTAACTTTGGCGAGGTAAAGGGTAGATGCCTGGTCAGCCTCTACAATCGGTGAACACAGGCAGTTCCAGAGGATGACTCAACCCCAACCTCAGACAAGGGACTATAATAAATGAAATTAATTGAGCCTCTGAGCAATTTAGAGCTGGACATGTCTTGTGTTCATTTAAGCTACACTGCATAAAGTATTTCCAGGAAATCATTTATTCACTGAGAAATTCAGATTTATATAGCTAAAGAGAAGACACAAGACACCAGCTTTAAATCCATACTCTTCATTAGGTATGGAAAGCATTAGCTGCCAGCTCATGTCCCTGGCAAATATTCTGGTACAGAACTATATGGTCAGGGAGGGAAGAGAGGGACCTGCGACCACTGCAACATGTCCTTCTTTTGTAGCTAAGCTTCCATTTGTCTCCATTCCTATTTCCAAGGTTTCCTTTCTTTTCAGTAAAGATCTTTGGAATTTGAGTATTTCATTTCCAGAATCTCCCCAATGAATTAAGAAAAATCCAGATCCAAACACTGTTTCACATTGAGCAGGGAAACACTTCTGTTTTATCTCCTTGTCTCCAGCAGAATTTTGAGGGAGACAAGAGGTTCAGCTCCCGGTCTCAGCCTCTCTGCTATGTGAATTTAAGAGGAGGTTTACTTCGAAGGAAGACTACTGGAAACACATCTCACTAATCTCCAGTTCCCAGTCACATGCTGCCCCACGGGTTCAGCTAAATTAGATACATCAAGCCTGCCAGCTGCACCTGTTGGAAGGCTCCAGAGTTCTGTGGACAATACTAAAATTTGGTATTTTATTCCAGTATTCCTATGGAGATGTCTTGTTAGGAGGCCACCTAGTGGGACAACATTAAACTTTCCCTTGATTATCCCTGGTAGATGTAGGTCGGTTTCTTTTTAATTTTGATTTTTTTCGTTCTGTGTGGCATTAATTTGGTTGCTCTGAATAAAAGCAGTTAACATGCAGGACACCAGCAGCACCAAGGCACGCGGATTTCAACCAGTTCCACACCATTCCAATAAATCAGGAGTGACATCTAGTGGTTAAGCAGGCAGGAACCTTGGCTTCTCCGCTGCTCTACTGCTTGTGTACACAGCATCTCTGCACATTTATCAGTCTCTACAATTTAGGTTACAATGACAGGTGGAAGAGTTCTCTGTTCACGAGCTCCCTCTACTCCTTTCATCAAAAGTTTCTTTGCTTGTAATTAAATTTCACATTTCTATGTGAAGCTTGTCAGCCTGGTTTTCAGCTACATGACTAATACAGCCTCTAAGGAGTGGAAGGGCTCCTCTGTAACTTCACATACAGTGCAAGAGTAAACCACCTCACGATGCTGTCACTTCTACTCCAGCAGGATCCGTAAGAGGCCCCATCTTATGCGTGAAGTTAAAAGAACATGAGCATAAGACCTTTACCGAAAAGATTTGGGGTTGGAACTACTATTACACTAACGTGATTCAAATGTATGAAACGCCATTGATGAGCGAATGACCTACAACCTCTCCAACTGGAGACCAACTGGACAGTCGTCTTGGGACAGTTAAAAGTTGGAAGCCAAACGAATTACCTGTCTGTGATCAGTGGTACAGATGAACAAACTCTGCCATCTGGAACCATCTCTTCCACAGTGCTGACTGAACATCTAATCTCTTCCTCTACTACTTGATGCTTAGGAAAGAATTCTGTGTGTTCATGCATCCTTCCATTGTGCATTTCTGAGGTTCGCTTTGGTGGTCTGGGAGGTGGTGGGGTATGTTCAGGTGGAGGGTCCAGGTCTTCATTGGAGAGCTCTTTCCACTGTTCCTGCAGGAAGGAAAAGCCCTATTAAGCTTTCCTCTATTTCTTTCATGTAAGATGCTATAACTTTTAACTTGAACGTGGCGGGGACTTTATACTCTACCTTTTCATTTATTCTTAGAGTGGCTGTTCATTTACATTGAAAAAAAAGAAAAAGAAAGACAGAGGAGAAAGAAGGAAAAGACAGAGGAGAAAGAAGGAAAAGACAGAGGAGAAAGAAGGAAAAGACAGAGGAGAAAGAAGGAAAAGACAAGAACTCCAAACCTAAGCTACATCCAGCACACAGAAGACATCCACTATAAATGCAGGAAATTTTAATCTACTTCTGGAAAATTTAAATAGCACAAAATAGAATCTGTGTTGTTAGAGTTCTGCTTACCATAAAACAAACTGACAGGATTTAATCATAATACTTAAACTTCTGGCATATTAGAAATTTTTTATTACCTGAAATAAAAGACACAGCCAATGCAGCCAGCCCATACCCAAACTACAGCGTCAAAAAGTACACATGGCCACCTGTTATATCACAGGTGCTTTTTTGAAGGTTCTTAATACAACACTTTTGGTAGTGACAGCTCATAAAGCATTGTATTTAAGAACCCCATAATATAAAAATTTATTGAAGCCAAAGCAAGAATGAAATTTAAAGTTTCTTTCTATTCTGTTCATCCCATGTATTTGCTAGTGTTAAAACAGAATTGCGGCTCATTGTACCAGGTTGTGCAGTCAATAATACTCACTTGCACTGAAGCATCTCCCATAATGAATTTTGCCCCTTCGATAACAGCTAAGTAGGAGAAACGGAGCTGATCTGCTGTCTGTATGAGCCCCATTCTGTACTTCCTCATTTCTAGGAGAACCTGTTTAACGTCCACAGAAGAAGGATCTTTCCGTTTGTCCATCTGAAGATAAAAATTTGAAACATGCTTTATGCTCTGATGAGATTCAATACATGGCCATACTACAAAATCAGTCATTCAGACTACCCTCCATCTTACAGAATTAATAAATAATAAAAACCTGGTATTGGCAGCTATTTATCAGGTCTCTAAAAAGACAGAGAAGGGAAAGCACAGTGGGCCTCCAACACACTGTATGTTTTTCCCTTTCTTGTCTGTCTTGTTTTGAAAATATAATTAG